ATTTATTTTGAAATTCAATAGCAATAACCCCAATGAAAATATACATTCTAGGAAAATTCCACTGATGAATCTCTAAACAATTTTCGCATAAATGCTTAGTCGTTATGATTCATTATTGAATTTCCCAATAAAAACTTAGCTGTAACCGGATTAATTGGATTTCTAATTAAAATTGTAATACAGTTTTGATGAATTCTTTTTGCAACGTTTGCTATGTAATGTAAAGCGTACCTACCGATATGTAAACTCAACAACATTTTGCAGTAATTGTAAATAATAATAAATGTATATTTATAGGAATTATTGGAACATCAAGAACAGGGCCGTATCTAGGGGGGGGTTTTGGGTGTTCAAACCCCCCCGGAAAAATAATAAAATTCAAAAAATTTAACTTAAAAACAAACAACACTTATTAAATACTTATTTATTTTTTTAATTTTTATCACTAGTGTAACAATTTTTTTTGCGACTTTGTCTAACCCCCCCCAAAATTTTGGTCTAGATACGGCCCTGATCAAGAATTCAAGGAACTAGGAAGGATATCGAAGTTTGGCAAAATAATTCATCGCAAAGATATTTCAGTACTAATCATATGTTTCGTGCAAAATTGAGAATTTGGTAGATAGTAAAGTATATTTTTTTTTTTAAAGATAATTCCCCAAGTCAAAAATTTAGTAACTATGTTGGCAACACAAGCCTTTTCTACATAAAAAATTTGAAAGCATTGACAATTTTACATTGTATTGCCAACATAATGTCACTTTGACTTTTATCTTTAAAAAAAAAACAGACTTTAAGAATCTCAAATCTTAGTAAACGTGATTTTATGCAAAAAATACTTATTGAACACTCACAGTCACAAGAACAATAATCCAGCTATCAACAAACAATCCATCTGCTGCTGGAAGTGCTCGACATTTATTTATCAAATACTTACCATAATCTAGCCCAGAGAAAATCATTGAATTTTTGAAACATTTGCTGTATTTGAAGATTGGAGACATAAAATGAAAAACTATTACTCATTAACTGCAAATTTGACCTTTATTATTATTATTGTTATTATTATTATTATTGTGTAACAAGTTCACATATAGTTTGTTAAGTAGTTTACACAGAATAATGATAAATGTCTTAATCTTCAAACTGAGATAGCTATCTAGTCTATTGTTAAAATTGATACTATGGGAGCTGTGACTGTTTCTTCACTTAGCGAGTTCGACGTATAGACCACCCTATTGCACAAGAAGTTTCTTCTGAGAAGCTTAGAACATCTTTGTTTCTCTAAGTTTTTTAGGGTGCCCTCGAAGGTTGTGATTGTCGCTTAGAGTGTATATATTCAAGTTGAAAGAGTAGTAATTACTTAAGCTTTTTTAAGTTGTAATTAGATCTCGTAGCCTCCTGTCACTTAGGGTAGTTAGGTTGAATCCCTTCAGACGGACTATGTGAGGTCTTGGATTTCTGGTGGAATTTCAGTAATTTTTCTTTGGACTCGTTTCAATGCCTCAATGTCCTTAGCATAATAAGGATTCCAGACTGACTGGGCGTACTCTAAGTATGGGTCTGATGTGGGACTTATTACGATTTGTATATTTTCAGGATTGCAGTAACTGAGTGATCCTTGAATGCCTTTTGCGTCAGGTAGGCCTTTTTAATACATTTTAGACATGTGCTTCTGATTTTGAATTATTGTTGGTTACAATGACGCCAAGATCTCTCTGTTTATTAGTAGATATCATCGTAATGTTATAGGTTTGTAATCATATACAGGGTGTCCAGAAAGTCAACGATAATACTGAAAGGGCTGATGGCACAACTCATTAGCATCCAGAAAAACATAATATGACCTTATAGTCCAGGAGGTGGCGCCAAAAACATGCAAGAGTTTTCGCAAGGCGGATATTTTCAAAATAGGTCGTACTTTAGTGCTAGAATGCTAGTGTACAGTCAGCACTCACAGTTCCGGGACAGCTGGCTCTGGGACGCGGGCAAAGTTGTGATTTTAAGAAGCATCTAAACTGTTTTCTCAAAGGTCAAAATTTATAGAAATTTTGCACATTATCTGTTTGAAGGTCACAGATAACGTATGTAAATCGTCAGACGCCTAGTTCGTTGCAAAAAGGGGGTCAGACGTCCTCAAAGTTTTTATTTTATGGCATTTTCTTCAAATATATTTGTCAAATACCTGCAAAAATATATTTTGACAGGACACCGAAGAAAATGCCATAAAATAAAAACTTTGAGGACGTCTGACCCCCTTTTTGCAACGAACTAGACGTCTGACGATTTACATACGTTATCTGTGACCTTCAAACAGATAATGTGCAAAATTTCTATAAATTTTGAGCTTTGAGAAAACAGTTTAGATGCTTCTTAAAATTACAACTTTGCCCGCGTCCCAGAGCCAGCTGTCCCGGAACTGTGAGTGCTGACTGTACACTAGCATTCTAACACTAAAGTACGACCTATTTTGAAAATATCCGCCTTGCGAAAACTCTTGCATGTTTTTGACGCCAGCTCCCCAACTATTAGTAAAAAATGGATGGTTTCCGAGATAATTGTCACTTTAATAAAATTCGTTAAAATCGTCCTCTTGTAACAGATTTTTGAGTGTCAACTTAAAATTTCCATTATTCTCAGATTCTGAATTCAGTTTTGCAATGGTGATTAGACATTTCATTTGTCATAGACCTACATTAAAAGTCAAAGCTCAAAATATTTACTACAAAATCATTTTAAAGTGAATACTTCTGATACTTCACATTAAAAAGGTTGTTTAGTAAATTTTTTGAACTTTGACTTTTTGTTGGTCTATGACGAATGAAATGCTTATTTACCATTGCAAAACTGAATTTAGAATTTTAGGAATAATGAAAATTTTAAGATGACACTCGAAAATCTGATCTAAAGAAGACAATTTTAACGAATTTTATCAAAGTGACAATATCTCGGAAGCCATTGATTTTTTACTAATGAGTTGCTCCATCAGTTCTTCCAGTATTGTCGTTGAGTTTCCGGATACACTATTTAGGGGATGGTTGGTTCCAATGTGGAGTACAGTGCATTGGTTTTCATCGAGGGTGAGGGTCATCAGCCAGTTTTCACACCACTCGGATATCGTCAGTAGGTCGGATTTAAGGTCTTCACATCTGGTGATGGGATTGCAGCTGAGTTTGGTGTTATCTGCGAAAAAAACTGACATTGGTATTGAGCTTAGTTGGCAGGTCGCCCATATACAGGGTGTCTTACGAGGTTTTTCCCAAATGATAACTTCGAAACGCATCATCGTATGTTCCACTGTATAATTTTCTATCATTTTCTTCAACAAAGCCTTAGCAAATATGACAAACCGATTTTGTAATTTAATTTTTTATGAGTTACATTTAATATTCGAAAGTTGACGTCACTTGACCGAAATTGCAGCGAAAGTGGTGAAATTGGATGACAATGGTAGAAACGGCACAAAAAGTTACCCGCAGATTTCAATTATATTGGATGACGCGTTCCGAAGTTATTACCTGGAAAAAACGTCGTGGGACACCCTGTATATAAGGAAAATAATTGAGCCTTGGGACTCCGCTTTGTACAGAATGCCGAGTCGAGTGAGTGCTGTTAACTCTAACTTACCTGACTCGTTCGATCGCTCAAGAAATCTTGGATCCAACCCAATGTTGTTTATTCCATAATACGATTGATTTGAAATTTGTCAAAAGCCTTTTCAAAGTCTAGGTATACGTACGTCAATAGGTAGTCCCTCATCATTCATCTTCGTCCATAAATCGAAACATGTTAGTAGGTTGGTTTCAGATAATCTTTCAGGCAAAAATCCATGCTGTGAAGACGGAAGGATGCTGTTTTCTATTAGAAAGTTAGTCAGTTCTTCGGCTACCACTTCTTCCATTTTTTCCCCCTTGTTCCTGGCCTGTCCGACTTATTGTCTCCATATAGCACTGAAGCCTGAGAAGGCCCTCCACACTCGTTGGTGTGGATTCAGGGTCATCGTAAGGTTAGTAGGCCGATCTGATAATATCCCTCGGCCCATTGCCCCCGATGAGCCTGATTCTGGCTGCCATCAAATCCCTGGAACAAAAAATAGTTGAGGGCAGTACATTGACGTTCTTTTTAATGTATATACAGGTCAGCTGTCCATTGGCTCTTCTAATTTTACGGTTTCTGAATCAGGGCAATATCTTCTTTCCCCATAACAGCAGAAAAGACCGCCGAGGCTGCCTTACTGTGCTGGAGGTTGATATTTTTCCATAGATTTGCAGGTGTTACAAGAAATCAACGTTACAAGTAAGACATATAGAACGATAATTTTTTGGAGAAAGCTTGTCGCCTTTTTTATGAATTGGGATGATGTGGGTTTCTTTCCATTTTTCGGGATTCTGTTGCTACTCATCAAGTTAGTCATTGCGTGTGCAAGGGGCCAGCTAATAGATTTTACACATTTTTGCAAAAATGGACTGGTCTTTTTTGAGGGCGAGAATCGACTCCTCAATGATATCTCGGGTAAAAACAACAGATGATATTGTTGCAAAGGTCCTCGTGTATATACTTTTTCAAAGTGATCAGCGAATACTTGAAGAGTATATTATATACTTGTTATTAAAAATCTGGAATGATATCCAATTTTTTTGAGAACAAAATTAGGACCAAAAAGTTGGAAAGGAGCTTTCCAACTTTTTTGGTGTTGAAGAAATACCTACTGCAGCATAGTAGAATGTTCTTGAAAGATAAGGAAATGAACGAATAGAATTTTAGATTTTGATGGTTCCAGATTTTGTATTAAGAGATTTCAAATTTCATTTATGTACAATTGTGCGTCTATACTGTCTACAGTCTACTTCGTTTTTGTGATAGTATGTAATACCTACATAAACGAATCTTTAATTTCTGTGTACTTTTCTTATTATACAAATAATTTCGAAGTTTATTTTTTGGGATACAATTGTCTCATTATGAAAGTATCAAATTAATATCAATATTCTTCTTTCCAGGCACATATCAAGGCCAATGGATGCGAGGGATGCGTCACGGCTACGGAGTACGAAGCAGCGCCCCCTTCGGTAAAGCCTCAAAATACCGAGGCCAGAAAGGTGCTGCGCGTGGTTCCTTGACGTCGCTGCGCAGTAACGAACAGGGCGCAGCACCTTTGGACGCAGCAGAAAAGCGCGACAGACGTGTGGACGATTCCAGAGGCGGGTTCGTGCTACAGAGCCGGAGCACGGAACCCACTTCCGTTAGAAGAAGATCGTTGGGATCGGGGAATATTAAAAAAAACATTTTTAAAGTGAGGTTCTTTGATCTTGTGTGTGTGTGTGTTGTTTCGATAATATTAATTTAAGTTCAAATAATCTAATTTTTTCTAGGGTATTCTTAAGAAAGGTGCCAGTACGGGAGAGCTGGATAGGCGAACGGGTTCTGGCAGTATACGAAGTAATGCTTCATCGGCGTCATATATTAGTACCGATTCAGCAGGGTCCGTTGTGACCAATGCCTCTATGCCGTCAGATTCCAATGCTAGTTTTGTGATAGATGTAAGTAAAATTTCAATGACTGTTGGAACCTTGGGTCAATATTGTAATCAACTGAGCACACATAAAATTTCAAGTTTTCTGGTAGTAAGTAATTTCAACACTAACGATTCGGATGGAACATTTGATGTGATCAAGTTGAAGTCGAAAGTCGAGAGAACTCTAAGTTACACTTCAAATTTTGTGAGCTTTTCTTATGAAAGTAGCCAGATACTATTTTTGGCTGGATTTAAATTGATTTCTCATCAGAACATTTTTCTTTCAGGATGAACAAATGGATCCGAGTGTAACAGAAACGTACATGGGTGAATGGAGCAATGACAAACGGTCAGGCTACGGTATAAGTGAGAGATCTGACGGTCTCAAATACGAGGGTGAATGGTACGCTAACAAAAAGTACGGTTACGGTGTGACGACGTTCAGTACAGGCGAAAAAGAAGAAGGAAAATATAAAAATAACGTCCTAATAACCAGTCAGAAAAAAAGACTTTTTCTAATGAGAAGCGCCAAATTTCGAGAGAGGATAGATGCGGCTGTTAATGCCGCTCAACGAGCTTCAAAAATTGCTTTACAAAAGGCTGATATTGCTATCTCTAGGTAATCAAGCCTAATTTTTTCTTGTTAATTCGAAATATAACTTTTTGGTTTCAGAACTGCTACAGCACGAGGTAAAGCGGAGCAAGCCGATATAGCTGCAGCACAAGCTAGAGATGACTCAGAAATAGCCGATCAAGTAGCCAGGCAGTACGCGCCCGATTTCAAACAGCCAGGATTGGAGCGGTTGAAAATGCAAATGAAATATCGCGAACCGAATCGAAACTTAGACATTTCCATGGATCAAAAAGATCACGGGATGATGCCCAATGAAATACCCAATCAAATACCCAATAACAAGCTAAATGCTAAACCTATGGCTAATCAAATGCCGCAAGGGAATCCTTATTATCAGCAAAATCAACAAAATACGTATCAGAACAATCCCTATCATCAACAACAACAACAGCAACAGCAAAATCCTTATCAGCAATATCAAAACAAACCGAATAATCCATCAAGCTTAAACAATCCATCGCAAATTCATCACTATAATGCTTCTTCTAATAATCCAGCATCACATCATGTAAACGAATTCGGGCCTCAGCTTCCAAATAACATTCAGCAGCAACAAAAAACTACGGCATCCAACGAATATATTAATAGCACGACGAACAATCCCAGAAACTCGTTGACCGGGGAGAATCTACCAAACACAAATTCGATACGAAGGATGTCGAGGAGGGTGTCGGGAGATCGACCGTATTTGGGGAATATTGGTCAACAATCGTCGATAGATCATTTTGATCACTATAAAAGGCCGCCTAGTCGGGATTCTAGTGTAGATAGGTAAGTGAGTGTGGCATCACTATTACTAATAATAGTCATTCTCTGAAGTCTGAATCAATATTACAATGGATCCTCATTCACTTTTCATTCAATTTTGAAAGAGTTTTGATGCTGCTTCATTATTGAAGTTGTCCTCCAATTATCCCTGAGGTTGGGTGTGCACACCTGGTATTCTAAATGTTCACATTGGTTTTTACGGATTTCAATTCTCAATTTTTAGGTATTCTAGAGCAACAGGTAGATTAAGTAACTCGTTAGCGGGTTCGAGGCAACCCTCTGTAGACCGAAATTCGGCTGGGCGGCTAGAAACGCCAGATAGGACGCTTAGGGCGCCCTCCGCAGTGAGGGGTACCACACCAGCTCCGACGGGAATGAACCCTGGTGGGATGAAAAACGGTTCGGTACCTACAGGTAGGAACTGAACCCTGTGCAGAACTATTCAGCAAAATATTTTCTTTTAGGTAATGGAAAGCCTCAAAATAGTATCAACAGCAACGGTACGTCGCTACCTCCTTTTGAAGATGTCATAATCCGGAAAAGGGGCCTCGGCCAGGACATTGTTCCGTCCCCCAATCAGCCTAAGCGGACCGAGAGTCTGTTCATTCCAGGACAACCTAACCAGCAGCAAGCACCTAAGGTAAGAATTTTCTGCATCATACTGAATGGTTTGCTCAATTATTTTGGATGTGATTTGAGATACATTAACTTGTACTGAATCCAAAAAACTTGTGGTAGGTACTATCTCAACTTCATTGGAATAATAAATAGCACAATAGAGATACCTGAATCATTCCAGGAAGACCGAGAAACGTAAAATTCAACTCTATTAGTCGTCACTTAAATTTGGATATAGCGATGAGTGGATTAGCTATAGCCTAACTCTACTGTATTCCTTGAAATTTTAATATCATCCTGTAAACCTAAACGTTTGTTGTATGAATAATGAGCCAACATTATTTTTTTAATTTGGATTGGGCTTGGTGTATGTGGGTACAATTCTGACACTAAAATACACTTGCCAGCATTTTTTCATTTCTGTTGATTGTTGGTTTACATTGGCGCCAACGTTTAAATTTGTTTGTAAAACTGCTAAAAATTCCACAAAACCAATCGAGCCGCTTTGAATTATTGGTTTCTAGCTATAGGTTGATTATTTAGTTTTAATGTGAAGAGTTTTATCCAACTAAGTGGTATTGATGACAGACTGCCTTCAACAGTTTTGTTTATCTGCAAAATATTTGGTGATTTTAAAAACTTTTCTCATATGCGGACACTTCTCTAGGAAATTCAAATAATTTAAGACAAAAATTATTGGCAGCTTTACCAATTTCCGCTTGAATTTGCCAACAAGAAAATGTCAAGTCCCTAAAAATAGAAGTTAACTTATATTATTAGATATCTTCCTTTTTAGAGTAGGTACCTAACCCAGATAAATATTCTATATATGAACTCGATCCGTAAATAAAGTTTTGGCAAAAACCTTGAGTCAAAACAATTTTTTTACCCAAAAATGAAATACGTTTCTCGTTCTCTCGGTCAAAACAACTCAAAAATCGTGACAAATTTCACCTTATCTCGCGACAAAAATAATTATACTCGTCCCCCACTCTATAAAAGCGTCGCGACGCTCGCTTCTAAAAGCGTCCATTGCCTAGAAAACGCCTGGGCCAGTGCCACGGTGTTGCTTTTCACGGTTCGGTGCCTTAAACGCTCGGGTATGGTGCCCCTTAGGACCGACCCTGGATCATTCCAGAATTAAGTGCTCAAAATTTAATCAACCATGTGTGATATGTAATTGTCCATTCCTAGATGCAATAATTTATTAGTTTATTTCGGGGATTTATATGAATATTAATTGAGGAAAAAAAAATGTGGTACCAAGGAGAGGATGAAGAAGAAGAGGATTTATTATTCTCGCCAGCTCTTATGGCCAGACGAGCTTCGGAGAGTTGGATCGAGACGCCTCCTATCCAGGTTAATAATAAATTTTCTTTTAATAGTTGTTTACCGTATAAGAAATAGGTATTGATGATCAAGATATTCCGGTGAGATTATTTATATGCTAGTTGGTTTCTTTATTGACTATAAGTAGTGGTGGTTTCATAAACCTCAATATCCATATTGCTACATGTGATTATCATCATCACTTGAAGATGCCTCGCTTACCATCTACGATTTAACCCGAAATATCTCGCAAATAAGAGTACGACCGATTCAACCGATCGCATTAAAATAAACTTTTATTGAAACATGTAGTCGATGCATCTTCACATCACAGACTAGAAGCCCTGTTGAGCTCTGATCGGTTAGAGATGTTGTACGAATTTACTCCATACTATAAGCATTTACTTCGTATTTAAGCTCAGTGCATAATATACTATTGTTTCCAATCAAAAACCTGAATTCAAATATCTATTGATTCGTGTTTGAAATCAAATAATAGCACTTGGATTTCCAAACTCTTTGAAATACTTTAATACGGACGTGATTTAGAAACTAAGTTTTAGTTTTTATGCTGTTTCAATTCATACGTGCACCCTTTACCAGGTACCTTTCTCGAGTTTCAAACTTTAAAGTAAACTCCAGATTCTGCAAAAAGTTTCTAAAAGTTGATCCAGCGCTTCTGTCTAGAAAACTATTCGGAGGGTCCATGGATTTATAAATTTTAAATCCAAGACAAAAGTACCTACTTCGAAAAGTAGAAGACAAACTTGAGGATAACATTTGAATTGAATTTGATACGATTCAAAACAAATCAACACAAGAAAAGTTACAACGAATAACGTAAATTATAACAAGAAAATAAACAACTCATTTTGGGTAACATAACAAAGGAACATGTATTTTTAAACTAGAAAGTTTATTGGCGAATTTGTAGATTAAATTTTGAAGAACCTGCAAAGAAACATTGATTTCATTTCTAATATTTGTTTCAGCTCCCTCAGATTTCTGAACATATTGGCAAAAACTTTATGTTTCAAGTAGGTACCTAACCATTGAGAAAGATTGGGAAGTTCCTAATCTGGTGCTAAAAGGTCCAAAGATATCCATCAGAAAGCAATGGAATGGTACATATTCATTCCTGGTACCAGTAAAGCAGCAATTTCTGTTTAGATAAAAGTGAGCGTCGACAATCTTGAAATAATTGTTCACGATACCTCGATAAATGTACCAAATGAAACGGTCTAGTTTACTCATCTTATCCTAATATCCTAATGTATTTCGAACTTGTGAATATCCATCTTTTTTGAAAATTGTCCATGTGCTCCGTGCTCCGAGCAGTCAATTCTAAAACAGTATAGCATGTTCAACAACAGCTTAATAATTGTAAGCAAATGATTCTTATCCTTTGTCTTCCATTTTTTCTAGAGCAGACCCCCGCATCCAAAATTTCTGAATACAACCTACACACTATATCTAAAATTGGAAACCCCTTAAAACAGCTAATATTGGCGACACTACAATGTTGGTGCAAATGTTTATTAATACTCATACATAGATGGGATAATTTATAAATGGTTTAGCCATTACACTGCATTTGTGTGGACTAAAGCTTGAGCCCAATGAACCGATTTGGTAAAATGGAAATTTCAACACATTTGTTAATATCGAGAAAGTTAAAACATTGAAGCTACTCTGAAAGAATTAGAATAATCGGGACTAAAATAAATCAGATACTTTAGTAGCTTGAAAAGTTAAGCCCGCCAATGTTATATGGCTCCAACACCTTTTTCCTTAAATATTGAAAAGTCCAAACCCCGGTTTGCCTACTAGAACTGCCTTTATAAAATCTTAAGAAAGTCAGCCGATGTCATTCAGCTTGAGAAATAGGTAACTCTCAAAGTAGAGGTACTCAATACAATGATACATCTGCGATCCAGATAAGCTTAAATGCACTTGTGAAAACCAATTAGGTACAAGAACACATTACAGGAGGTGGAACTGCATTAAGGGTCTGCAGGTAAGTACTAAAAATTTGAATCGATGTTTAGGTACCATTTAACTCCAATAGTAATTATTGCCAACTGGAACTGATGGTTCGGTATACTTCTATCTGGATTGAGAAAGTACTGCTATAATTAACTGTATTAGTAGTAGAGGTATTCTAAAAAAAAATTGTAATCTTGGAAGTTATAGAGAAAGAACTTGTGTTGAAGGGTAAAGGCAGGCTTTGGTTTGAGTATGTGCTACAAAGCGTCACTTCCTAAAATTTCGTGGTAAATTATGCTGAAAAGTAAATTTGATCTGAAGCAGTAAATAACAGTTTCCTGAATCGGAGGAAATCTGAACGAAATCTTCTGTCTTCTCTTCTTGGAGTGGTTATTGAAAGGTGTTAATAGGGACTCAAAATTAGTACCACTTACCACTTTTCTGCTGAAGCTGGAAACACCTTCTCTAACCGCACAAACCTGCACGTAAGATCTTTTTAAGCCACCACCAGTGTTATAATGGGAATTTTAAAACCAGAAAAGAAAAGACTAATTTTGAAAGATTAAAACCAATTTATTAAAAGATAAAAAAAAAGGTAAGGTAAAATATTAAAAAAACTAAAATACCTTATTTAACTAATAGACCATCAACAATTGAACAATTAAGACAATTGAAAAAAAAGAGAATAATTTCCCAATTAAAAGATTTAGTTCAAAATCTGAGACTTTGGAAATTGAAATTTAAAAAAAATAACTATCACCTCTTTGGAGAACTTTCACTAAAACACCGCGGGCGGCAGATGAACTAGCGGATGAGGAACGGATCGACAACTCGTTGAGACTTTACGACTTAATTTCCCGGCGATTACTCGTGGTAAAATCTAGTCGCGAATTGGCGATAACTGAAGTTATGTGGCCTCAACATCTGCTCAAATAAGCGAAAGGAACCACCCTCTGGGTACCACTTTAGAAGCCCATTGGCTCCTCTCAGTACCGGGCTTGCGAGATTCGAGGATCGCCACCTTCTTAGCTTTCAGCGATTTCGTGGAAGTACCCCTTGGTTTTTTGCCGTGTTTCTATTGGTTCTCAAGTTTATCCAATCTTCTCCATCCAAAGTGCTCAACCCTGTGATCCAGTTGGATGGCTCTCCAACAACAGAGTTCGCTACTTACATGTTGTCAAATTATTAATTGAACATGTACTGTTTTCCTTTTCAATTGAAAATCTGTCCCTTTTCTAATTACCTAATTGAATGTATAAAATAATGGTTCCCCAATTTCTAACCTAATTAACAATGGTATGAAATGATCAAAACTCCCTAATGAATCTCTACTAATATAATAATTGAATAATCACTCCTATCTTAATCTACCTATCTTAATTATAACTAAGCATTTGACTATAGTAATCACCCTTGATAATTATATTATTATTATACAATTGGTTATGGCATCTTAAAAATCCAGCTCATGTAATTATTGTTTCTCTACACACACATATGCTTCGAATATAAAACGTTATAAAACGTGGGTCAGAGATTATTCTTGACTTTGAATAAATTATTACAACCACATGGGTCTGGTTTAGTCGAGAGATTAGTTTAAAGTTTAGTGTTTATCTCGGAAAACATAAATTTGCCTATATATTCGTCAATTTTGGATTACAGCAATAATAATCTTGAAACTATAAAATTCGATACTTTTCTGGCTCAAGTGCTTTTTATCCTCGGACAGATTAGACCTTTCGCAGAACTCCATGTGTTTGTAAATTTCATCATAGGGTCACATTTTAGCTATCTATAAAAATAAAACTTTTCCCACGAATAATGAATTTGAACCGAGAATATAAATTTGTTATTGATTTTGTTACAAAAGGAATTCATCAGAACTTTTTCTATTTCCTATAGGTTTTGACAACTCAAACGTCTCTGCAACGCAAAAAATCGCTACCGGACGTCCAAGATTTGCCTAGAGCGACGCGTCAGATGCCGCGCGAAGAAGTATCCTACTTGGGCTCGGCCCGTCGCGAAGAAGTCCGAAGACAAATCGACGAGCGTGAACGGTTACGCGCCAATCCGCTTCTCTGGCTGGTCAGTCCACAAGTCAAGGTAAATAACTCGCTGTGTTTTTCTATTAAAAGCTTATTTATTAACCTATGTTGGCTGCCAAAGGTTGTTTCTTGACAAGCGTAAATTATCCAACTTTTTATAGTTGGTGAATCATTGTAAACGATTTTTAGTCACTGCATAATCAGATGCAAGAGTCATAAGACTACTCAGAAGTGGAGAGCGGGACGGAAACATAAATGTCAGCTAATACACCAACTACTATCTATAGTTTTATCAGAGTGGCTCTATAATAGATAATAGGGATTTGGCAAACTTATCATCGCCCACGATTCAAACTTTCAGAGTATATACTTATATATACATATCAGGTTTTTGGTTAGAGATTTTCGATTTTCCAGGTTCGTAAAACTTTATTGCTTAAAAATTGTTGTCAGCAGAGCCTCGAGCATATTTCTCCCAAAGTTCAGTACTCTGGAGGATATTAAGTGGAACGCTGTAGAGCGGACTCGGAGTATTCTGCGAAATAAGATCTCTCTGTTCAAGATCACTCAGCGTCGTTAGCTGAAATATGGTACATCAATCTTCGTAGGTTATGTCTTCCAATTCCAAGGGTATCTTTGACCTCGCTTGAGTAAATCTAAGTCCTTAGCGTAGAATATGCAAAACTGTTAACTTACTCACATTTGGTGCAATAAAAGGGCAATACAATTCGGAAATCGTTCCGCAGCATCTCTATCAACAACTTTTTTGCATGTTCCTCCAAAAAATAAACAAGATGGGACTGCAGTTCTGGAACTTCTCTTTTCAGACAGAGGGATCCACCTGACTTGACTTGAGAAAACTTCATCCAGCTGATGAACAGCATTATGTACCTTGTGGAATGCCAAGACAAATGGTTTACTGCCTATCGATAATAATGGTGACAAGTCCAGTTGAGCTTGAAAGCAGGTGGGAGTCAATTGATCGTTTGGATAGCAAGCCATGAGTTTCTAGGCTAATCCCTAACTCAAAGCTATTCTTCTTCCTACACTTTGACAATGAATGCTGACCTTCCTTCTTTCTCTTCTCAGCTTGTATTCATTCACTTCTGTATACTTATATACAAGCCTGTTGTATGTTCGTTTTGGAAAGTCGTCGCTTTTCCTTTGGTTTTTTCTATCCCGCTTTACTTATAATGCCTTACCAAAATGAGATCCTATACCTAGTCATGTCTTGTCACTTTCTCTAAGTACCTAGTCTGGTTATTCTCCGAATATCGGCTGAAGTAGTCACCAAAAATTCTGATGTAAACTTCCTAATTTGAATACCAAAAATAAATTAATATCAAACCAGGATTCATAGACTCAGAGCTATGTTTTTATTCTTTTCAAGGCAATATAACTAGCATTTATAAGATGATAGAGGTTCCCTCATCGTTGCCAAAATGTGAACTTCACATAAATCACTCTCAACCTCAACCTTAAACCGCTCAACCAATCAATTTGAACCTGAAAAATCCAACTTTACTAAATTGCTATTGACGTAACTTAAACTGCAACATTTTTGATTGATATCTACATATCATATTTCTTCACTGAAAGTAAATGCGTTTTAGTTAATGTGACTTTGATCTAATTATAAATAATTTACCCGGACGCGGGTTTTAAAATGTATATTTATAGGTAAATGATGCTTTCATTACTTTAGAGAAACAACCATTGGATCGCTGAAAAAAATTAATTATTCCTCTAATTATGGTTGTTTTTTTGCTAGTGTATCCACTTTTTTTTCAGTTAGTGTAAAAAGCTAGGCTTATGAATTTGCACTAAAATGCTATTTTATGGTTTTGTTTTGTATCTAAATTTTGTTAATTAACTCCTCATTATATGATGTTCTTTGTTCTATATTCTTCGTTTAGCTTTTTACCTAGTTTATGGCTTCACCTAGGTCTAATAAAAAATGCAAATAATTTACTGTAATGGATTAAGTATCTACACCTATTGAAATCCTTCTAACTTTTTAACTTTCCAATTAGGTTTGTGTAGCTTTACAGTAAATCTTTGCATTCCTTTTAGTATGTATCCTTAAAAATAATACCGTAATTTTTCTACACACTGCATTACAGAGATCGAATAGGTACGTCACCATTTGTCTTAGAATCTTTATACTCATTTATTATGATATAATATTATGTGTTATTTTTTGCCATTTGTTTCTCTGTTAAGCTATAACTAACAAGAGGGCATTCAAAAAGATTTATCCAAAACCAGCCCAATAGAGAAGGGATAACTGAAAATTATTTCAAAAGCAAATTCTAGACATGATGTAGGTACACCTGTAAGAAATTCCAAAATAAAGCACTCAAATGTTTGCCGACGTTTTGGTAGAGTTTTACTTTTACTGAGTTGCATAAACTTTTGCCTTCAAATAGGAAAAATCGAATGGTGAGAGGTCTGGCAAGCATGCAGACCATATAGGTATTGATGGCCCATTTTCGACCAGGCAATAACTGCTCCATTTTGTTGGAAGATTTCTCTAAAATTTTTAAGAAATAGAAATCTAAATGTTTCTAAAATTTATTTGCTCGCGGTTGAGCACAATTCAAGAATCATCCTTTTCATTTAAGATTTTTCCGGTAATAGTCAAACCTGCTAAAGAGTTGGGGGTTGAAACTATATAGGAACTATTCGTCCAACTAAAAAATACAATTGACAATCGCTTGTTAATAATTAAAAAACTTTAGAAACATTTGGCATAGATTATCGATATTTATTTCCCTCAATTATCATGTGCCCAGACAGTACAGCGGCATCTTAAAGACATCCCTAAGATGTCCGCAAACGACATTCAATACATCTGTTAGATGTTTGCTTACGTTTTTAAGACGTTGTATGTTACAAAACCCAACGTCTTTCTCAGGTGTGAATAAAGAAATAAGGAAAAATCAAGACCCTAGAATTGGAAAAATTATAAAAATTCAAGAATTTGAATTGGAACAGAAACATTTTCTTGCTAATACATATTTCCTTATTATTAAGTACCTAGGTACTTATTTTATAGCTTTCAATTTTTGTCTATTCCAGGTGCTAGGCTCTCTATGAAATAATTCTTAAATTGTCCTGAAACCTTACAAAATACTGCTATTGAAAGTATTTTGGGCGTTCTAAATGGCTTATTGATGAAAAGTTCTGGAGCATTCTAAAAATTTTTCAATAATTTCTAAATTGTTCTTAAGTATTTTAGAGACCTATTGAACTTCCAACTTTTAACCTGAATCCTAAGATTCGGGCCCTTTTCAAAATGATTCTGCAAATTCTGATGTTTGAGTGTTTTGGAGCGTCCTAGATTAAATGGGTTTCAAACTTCTAAATTGTTCTAAAATGCTTTTGGAAATTGTAAATCGGTTTTTGAATGTTTTGATGGGGCATTCTAAAATGGTTCTGAAATTTCCAAAATGTTCTGAAGCGCTACAGAACGTTTTTGGAAATTCTGAATTAAATTTTTCTTAGGCATTTAAGGTGTCTTAAAGATGTCTTGAATAGGTCTATGTTACAAGACCCAATGTCTTTCAGCCGTCCGCCTGAAGACGTGTTCAGGACATAATAAGACAGGCGTTTTCAACGAGATATCTTATAGACGTCTTCGAATCTCTATTCAATACATAAAACATTATTCACTTTTAGGCCTGGTTGTATAAATAAGATGTGAATTTACGACATCTTCAAAAACAACGTCTTCTAGACGTCTTTTTTTAGTCTTCAGACGTTTAGATGTGTTACCGCCGCCACCTGGATGTGACGGGCGAGTAAGGGAGACTTTGTTTTAGGAAAAACCTTTATTAAATATAACATCTTGAAATTTAAATTATTTGTGAGTCTCTGATTGCTCGCTACGCTCGCCAAACATCAAAGAGAAGATTCTCGGAAGCGTAAATCCACCAGGAACGTGGAAGACCTTTTTCAAATATATCACCTTCTTGTGAATGCAGTTATAGTTAGGCTAGGTAGGTAGGCGACGGATTCTTAAATTAATATGAACCTACCAGTAGGCTCATGATTCTTTTTACAAACAGTACCTACCGATAGGCGTTATATCATGTGGCAATTTGGGACCTACCATAATGTTTCAGCGTTATACATAGTAGGCGCAGAGTTCACTCCCATAATAAATTGACAATGGAAAATATGTGGAAACTGAAACCTCACCTGCTTTGTAACTATAACGAACGACTTTTCACTGTAAGCACCAGAACTGAATTAATCCAGGGCGTCGTGAGGCGTCTTTTATTTAGCGAAATTAGTGACGCTTTTAGTTTATCAGTTTCAAGACAGGCGACTTTTTCCAAGGAACCAGTGGTCAAGAGTCGTGTTTTTAAGACATAGTCATAACACTCTTTTGGAAACCGACTGATAACCCTTGGCTCTTGGTACGGTTTCGTCAGAAATTTAGCAATTTAATCTAACTGGTAAAAAAGCCAATTAATCGTATTACGAAGCAAAAAAAGGACTTTTAGGCCGGTTTGTTACAGATGTAATGCAGATCAAAGAAAGATGTCTTTAAGACTTTGTGTGCTGTCTGGGTAGTTAAATTATTTCAAAGATGTTTTCAAATATACTTAATACCTATACACAAATGTATCTAGAAGAAATCTCCTACTGACAACTCTAACTTTAAATCAATTTTCTGATAATAAAGGTAGATCGTTTTGAATGTCCCACCTTGTTATAAATGTGCTCTGTAAGAATTCATTGTTTATTTAGAGCTAGATGATGATTCCGAGCTTTACATGAACAACCAGAGTAATGAAGCTAATTTATTAATATTTTTTGATCGATTGAATGTTCAGCTGCCTGTTAACGAATGTTTTATTACTGTTGAAATATTAATATGTACCTAGGTTGAGTCTTAATGTGTGTCTATTTTATTTTCCGCTTTTGGCTGTTTTTTTTTTTTGGTTAGCTTACTTGTGCATTTTGTTTCCATATTGTTTACCACATTATTAATGATAGTTAAAATTAATTTTTTGGTTGGATTCAAGTCTAGAAATAGACACTTAAGATCACGTTATGGTCTAAATGTAAATCATAATCTAGAAAAAAAATTTCATGCAGTCGTCTTTATTTTAAGCAACAAATAAAGGATATTTCATACTTTTTCACTATTGAGCGAATTAAGATGTCTCGATGACATAGGATAGATAATCGAGATGTTGCTTGGGGTAAATTCCAGGCACTAGATAATCTTCCAGGTTCGTTAGTGTATTCCTCCATTCATGTGAAATCTATATAAAAACATAACAGTACTAATTTATAGTTGCAGTAACAATAAATATAAGAATTTCCCTGGTGATGTTCTTATTTAGACCCAAACGTTATACAAGTATACAATTTATCGACTTAAATCCAACAAAAAATTTGCAAAAATCAAACCACACTGAACTAATTTTTCCTTATTATCATTATTTTTTATTCTAGGATTGGTTTTCACGGCAGCAATTGGTCCTTGTAGTACTCTTCATCAACATTTCCCTTGCGATTATGTTTTTCAAATTGCTTACATAGTACAGGGCCGGAGGCGTCAGCCTAGACGCTACCTGAACGGACACCAAAAAACAAAAAGACAATTTTTTGGATTTAAGCTGCAATTTTTTGCGTACATTTTTGGATGGACAAAAGGTACACGAGCGACGATTTTATATTTGTGGGAATCCCCCCGATGAAACGGTTGGATTAAATTGTACGGAACTTATGGAAGAAAGTGTGCACTCAATTTTTGAATCGGTGGACACGAATTTGAACAAAAATTTTAAGAAAATGGTTATAGTGTGTAATTTAAAGAAACTTTTTATCCTAATTACTGTTGGAGTTTTTTCAAATTTTATCTCTGTTTTTTGATTTGTTGTGTCTTGTTTTGTTGCCTTAATTTTTCTAAATACATATTTGATAGTTTATTGTCGTTTTTTTGGCCGACATTATTTTATTTCAATCACTTTATTCGATCAGTGTAAAATTATATCAACAATTTCCAATCACAGTGTGTTAAATACATAATATCTATATTTTTTAACATATCAAATATTTGATTTTCTTTAAGCACGTTTTGTGCGCAATTACTTATTTATCTGAAATTATTGGGATCAATTTTTATAAATTTATATTAAGGCTTTAGCGTGCAAAACTTTTTTCTGATATTTTAAAGCACGCAGCTAGCAAATAGATATTTTTGGAAATGTGAACAGTTTTTATTACACTGAGAAAATCTCTTCCTTATCAAGTGGAAATATTAGCTACTGGAACTAAGTATTAATAAAAAAAAATAGTTATATTATGCTCTACTAACTTATCTGTGGTCTATAGTAGCAAATTACTTTTTTCAGAGCACTCGATCATTTGATGTCACTAATTCATTTATCATATTTATCCTTAAATTTGATTTTAGAGTTTTTATCGTCTGTTATATAGTTTAAATATTAACACTCTTAAATTTGATTTTAAAAATTCTCACATTAAGTATTGCAGCACTTCTTTACAGCAAAATATTCAACATCACATTTTTACAGAATTTCTGCTAGGTATACTTACTTATTTTAACTAAAGAATATCAAAAAATTCAAACGGTTTGTGGTCTATTTAGGTCCATTATTGATACCTACTAATTTCGAATAAAGCTACCTACTTGATTAATGAAAGTTTAAATTTTTTCTTTCCTTGTGAATACATTCATAATATTTTTTGAATAAGTTAGCGTAGGTATTCAAAATTGACAAAATTATGCTGAATAGGTATCCTGAAAATAAATTAGCAAATAAGTAATTACTTACCGGCGTTTTTCTCAGTGTAGCTTAACTGCACACCTAAAAAAAATCTAAGGGGCTCAAATTGATAATATAAATCTCATATTGGCTATACTCAACTAGTTTTTCTATTGAACTACTAAACAATACGTCAGTGTAATTAGTCATCCTTGAGGTCCAATGAATAAGTCTCCATCATAAGCTAGCAGAGGCTTATTAGTATTATACGGACATTCTATTGGTTACAAAAATTGAATATAATAATGTTAGTTGTTTAATTGTTAGTTAGAAATTAGGTAGCAAAACAAGGCGTATAGCATATACTTACATTAAATCATACAATATATTTTATTTGAATTGTTACAATCTGTTTTTTGGGTAGGTGACAAATAAGCTTCACACGTAATTTTTATTTATTCGATTAGAATTTTATTTTTTTTATGGTATCAATTGGCTTTTGATTAATTACATTTTGTTGTCTTTTATTTATTATTATCATTACAATTATAACTAAGTAATTTGAACCCCTTTTAATCTTTAAAATGTTTTGTTTATTTATTTTTTTGTTTAGGATTATGTGATGTTTTTTATTTTATCCTTGAAAAGTGAGTATAATTTTTCTGCTACATTTAGGTATACATTTCGCATAAGGCAGTTTATTATTGTTTCTGTTACTTGATTTTTTTTTTGAGTGTTTCTTTAGCATTGACCAAACCTATGATAAAATTATCATAGACGAACATGGTCAATGTTGAAAAAAATGCTTTTTCTATGTTATATATGTGCCTTGTTCATACTTTGTAAGTAATTTAAATACTATACTTATAAAAAGCCGTAGCAGGTTTGTAACTTTTTACAAATCCGATACTTTTTACCATTCTATACTTATGGCATTATACTCTATTAATTGAGAAGTAACTTTCAAATTTTTAGATTTATATAATTAATTATTATGAATCGACAAATGTATGATAATAGTTATTATTATACCTAATATGTCACCACTTTATATTTTCAATTTTAATAAAAGGGGCTGATAAAAAAAATTACTCTTTAGTCATATTGACTTTTTTTGACTTTAATGGCGTTTTATTTTAATCCTAGAATTCCACATTTCTTTTCATATTTCATGCAATGTCTTGTCTTAGATTACATAATTACGGGTGATTATTTGGTAAATTTGTAATATTATGCTTTAACAGAGCTGAGCTGGGCAGATTACTTAAAAAAAGTAGCAGAGTATATAACTATTACCTACCTACTTCGTAAAAAAAGTAGTTCAACTACAAACTATCCGGGTTGGGTGCCGTACCAAGTAAGTTTCCAACATTTATTTTTAAATGTGTTACAAATGAAAACTTTAAACTTATTCTAAGTGAGACAAATTACTGCGAGGAAATCTCGAAAGTAAATGAATGCAAAACAGTAGCTGCGTGCGTATTTTATAATAAAATAAATGCTAGCATAAGCAAGATAAATATTGTTGTTTTGAGGGAACAAAAGGGTCTTTATTGGGTTACAATATAATTCCTCGCTCCTTAGGTGGTTGCAAATTGGGGTTGATGTAGGAACCAAGTTAGGCAACTCAATTTGAACCGCAGTTTTCACATTTTTCCGTTTTTTATGTAGATCGTTCCTATAGATATTGGTAATATAGGGTTTTCTACTGGTGTTAATATGGAAGAATTGGTTGTGGTTCCTATGATGATGAGGATGATGTTTGTAAAACTCGTAAGACTATGGGCTCTAGAGTTTTATTGTGTAATGATTTGTAAGTCTGAAGGGTCGTTTGGTAAGAAGAATGTTAATCTCTTTTTGTTTGGGAAAGGTATGATTATTTCTTTTCGAATAGTATTGTTATTCGAATACCTAAAAATTACTTGATTAGGAAAGAGGTTGATATGTTTTTTGGTATAGGAAGCCCCTAAAATAGGATTTTCTAGTGAAGTAAGTATGAATGGTTTGTGCGTCTTCTGGAAAATTTCTCTGAGGTCGTCTTGGTCAAATAGGATTTTCAAGTGACGTGGGAATTTTTTGTGCATCTTGTGGAAGATTTTCTTGAGCTTGTCTTAGTGGTAAGATGATTTGGGACAGAATTTTAAATATTGGAGGTAGTTTTTATGGTATAGTTATACCATGAGCTGAGTTACGAGGTGAATCAGCTGTTAGAGTAGATTCTGAAAGTAACTTGTTTTCGTGTTCATCATCCATTTTTATTTCTTTGCCTTTACTGATGGGTAATTTCGGTTTTTGGGGCATAAAAAGATTAGAACCTTCGAAATATTTTCGTAATATTTTTTCGTTCTTTGAAGGTTTATCTTTTAAAATTGCTCCTAGGGTTTTGTGGAAATTTTCGTCAGAGTCTAATTCAGTATGTGATTTGACGTATGAGAGAGAGAGCAATGACCTAACCCACATAACAGTAAAAGAACATTCATATTCTCAGAATATTCCCTCAAAGTGCTTTTTGGAATGTTCTTTTAGGAATGTTTATTGAATATTCTAAGAATGTTTCCATTGAAATATTCATTTTTGAACGTTCTATTTAATATGTAATAGGAATGTTGCTTCTATGCACCTACCTGAAAGATTGTGCTAAGAACCTACTTTATATAACATTATTTGAATATTTGAAAGGTAGTTCACGTCCACACACTTGTAAAGAAACGAAATTGCAGCTTTTTTGGACTTGTTTTATTCACGTATTAATCAATTGAATATTGTCATACGAACATTATTATAATGTACCCTAAAAAATGTTCTTTCGGCTAATATCTCTATCAAGTATTAAGAATATACCTACCAAGTTGTGCTGAGAAGTTTATGTAGGTAGGTAACCATGATAAGAATATTTTCATATTGTTCACGTAACTATGCAAAGTACTTACTCAAAAATCTTAATTGAAAAATTAGACAATAATGCTCCATCTAGAACCTACTAACAATATTGTAGGTATATTCTTTTTCTTTTGCTTTGTAGGACTTCCAAGTAAGGGAGCCACTCGCTATTAAAGATCTACATCTTGCCTCGCGTTTGAATCACCTTGGAACCTGTTTCTCTCAGTTGGCGTGCTTTGACGAGAGCATAACAAGCTCGAAACCGGAGCTTTGGTTAAATACTTGTGTTTTCCAAAGAAGTTTTCCAACAACTGTTTCACTGCCTTTTATATAAAAGGGCTGAAAGAAGCATTATTTGGGAGCGAAAATTAACATTGCAAGTATATCCTTAGAATCAAACAAGAATGTTATGTCTAGGATGCATATTGAGAATGATATATGTAGATATATTCTAAGAATATTTGAAGCACATTGGTATAATATTCTTTTGAGAACATAACTATAATGTCATAGAAACATTCTTTGAATGTGAGAATATACATTTTGAGCATCTTTTAAGAATCAAACAGGAATATTCTTTCAGGATGTACTGAGAATCTCATAGGTATATTCTAGGAATATCCTAATGGATTTCCCAGGAAGTTCTTGGGTATTGCAAACAGTATTTCTACAATCTTTTCTCAGAACATTCTCAGGACATTCGCAATGGTTTTCGCGAACATTCTAGGCACATTCCTCCTAAAAAAAGAACATTCTTAATACATTCTAAGGATGCAATTTTGTTATGTGAGAAGGGGGTCTAGATAATGCATCTGCATTCATATTTAAGGTTCTTTTTTATACTTTATTGTTTAATCAAATTCGTCTAGTTTGAATCTCTATGACTAACTTAGAGCCAGGATCTTTCACGGAAAATAACCATTCGAGTGTGGTATGGTCTGATAGTATTGTGAATTTTTGTCCAAACAAGTAGGGTCTAAAATACACTTATAGTTGCCCATACTATGGCTAATAATTCTTTCTCTATCGTTGAAAAATTGCATTCAGCAGGGTTTAGTCTGCGACTTGCATAGGCAAAAGGAAGGTCGGAACCTATTGGCCCTTGTGATAAATTCAGAGTCGTGAACTATTTTCTCATCTTTTTTTAAACCTAACGTAGGTTTGTGATTTTGGCAAAGTTTTTTATGAATTTACGATAGTATCCAATCAATCGTAAGAATGATTTGATCTCTTTAGTGGTCTTGAGAATTGAGAATTTCTTGATAACGTCAATTTTTTTCGGGTTCGGTTTAGTTCCTTCGGGGTTATTACATGACCTAAAAATTCCACTGTTTTCTTCAGAAATTCTGACTTGTCTAGTTGAATTTTCAGATTGTGCTCTAATCTTTGGAATATTCTTTTCAGATTTTTGATGTATTCTTGGAGAGAAGTGGAGTGAACAATGATGTCATCCATATAGACTAAACATATTTTGTTTTGTAGTCCGGATAAAATATTGTCTATCACTCTTTGGAAAGTGGCGGAGGCGTTTTTTAAGCCAAAGGGCATGCGTATATATTCGTAATGCCCGTTTTCTACGTTAAAAGCAGTTTTAGGAATTGAACTTGGGTGCATTTCCACTTGGTGGAAACCAGAAGCTAGATCTAAGGTGGTGAAATAATTGCTTCTACCAAGCTTGTCCAGAATGTCAGATATATTTGGCAATGAATATCTATCATCAATGTTTTTTTCATTCAGTTTGGACAGTTTGTGATAATCAATGACCATTCGCCATTTCTGTTTGCCTGAATTAGCGTCTAATTTCTTGGGGACTATCCACACAGGGGATGACCAAGCGCTTGAGGACGGTCTAATAATATTTTCATTTATTATTTTTTTAATTTGTTCATTAACCTCTTGTTTATGAACGTGGGGGTAACGATAAGCTTTCACATGAACAGGGATCTCGTCTGTTGTCTTTATTTCGTGTTTTACCTGATCAGTAAATGGAAGTTTTTCGTCTGGTTTATGAAATATCGTGGGAAAGGACATAAAACAAATAAAACACTCTAACTCTCACCAATAAAACAACATTAATTAAAAACGAAGAATAGATTTATTAATAATATAAGCAAAAGAAAGACTTAAATCTACTCAACAAACATGAAATATAAATATAAAAACTGTAGAATTTGTATAATTAAAAAAAAAAATATTAAAATATCGCTTAGCTAGAATAGAATTTCTTGCTGGGGTCTTTAGCCATATCTATAAGGGTTTGAGCTGGTTTGAATTGTATACCGTAGGCACTTTGGTAGGCTTCCATTTTAGATACCAATTTACCGGCTCCGTATTGGTCGACCCAACGGAAAGGTCCTCCCGTGAATGGAGGAAAACCTAGACCAAATACAGCACCAATATCACCTAAAACAAACCAAAAATAACTAAAATGTTAAAATAATCAGAAACAAATTACCTTCTAAGGGGTTGGCTAAAATTTTCTCTTCCAAACACAAAATAGCTTCGTTGACAAACCTGGAAGCCATCCTCAAAGTCTTATCTTCATCTTCAAAAGGTCCTTTAGGTTCTAAACTGTATTTTTTGAGAATGCTTACGGCGTCTTGATTAATTTCTCGATTTTTGGAGCCTTTTGCATAAAGGAAAATACCTTTACCCGATTTACGTCCTAGGAATCCGGCTCTAACAATTTCAGTCAAAATATTTTGATCTCCACCTCCAAAACGTTCTCCAAAGGCCTGAAATAAACCATTTATAATTTCTAAAATAAAATAGTGAATATAGTACCTTAAATAGAGCAGGGCCAATATGGCTTGCAACATCCAAACCAACTTCATCAGCTAAAGTGGCAGCACCAACGGGAAAACCAAATTTCTTAGTTAACTTATCCAAATCTTTAGGATCTACACCTTCTTGCAACAGTCTAATGGACTCAGCCATCATTGCACTCAAAATCCTGGTTGTATAAAATCCAGGTCCATCTCCTACAGTGATTACAACTTTTCCTTGTTTTAAACCTACATCTACAGCCAAGGCTGTAGTTTCTTTACTTGTTTTATCTGTAGTGATGATTTCTAAGAGTTGCATCTTGTCTACAGGTGAAAAATAGTGCATTCCAATAACTTTATCAGGCCTAGACGAAGCTGCAGCAATATCTTTAATAGGAATGGCACTAGTATTTGTGGCAAACACACAATCAGGCCTCACAACGGCTTCAACTTCCTTTAAAACTTTGTGTTTGATGTTCAAGTCTTCAAAAACAGCTTCAATAACGATATCTGCGTTTTTGAACGCACCATAATCCAACGTGCCAGTAAGATTCGATAGCAACCTGTCTTTTTCCAAAGTGGAAATCTTCTTCCTTTTAACAGCAGTGTTAAGACCAGTAGATATTTGATTCACACCTCTAGCCAAACCATTCCCGCTCGAATCTTTTAAAATCACATTGTAACCTTTATCGACCGTAACGTGTGCAATACCAGCCCCCATCAAACCGGCCCCTAGAACTGCGACATTTTTGAACTCCTTAGCAGGCTTGCCAAATCTATTTTTCTTGCATTGAGTTTGCCCTTGGAACAAACTAATGAGCCCTTTGGATTGAGGAGTCATGGCTAATTGACCGAAACCCCTGGATTCTGCTTCGTAACCTGCTTCGGGACCTTTGTCGAGACCTGTTCGGACAACATCTAGAATCTGGAATGGATCAAATCAAAATATGTGATTATATGAAAGAAGGTTGGAAAATATACATTATTTAATGATGTAAGCGAAATTGGTAAATAAACTGCCTGGATATAGAGGCCCAACTTTGGACTTGGAAAAGGATATTAGTTGCTCAGGATAGAAAAGAATGCCATAGTTTGAAAGAAGATTTTGTCTAGCAGGGGTCAGAGGATGAGCTGACAAAGGTGATTATGTTAATTTTGATGAGTACTTCAAATTGAATGTTTCCATGAACAACATGTTCGTATTAGTCATTTTCTACAAATATGTCATTTGTAAGGGATAGAATAAGGTTTCTTATTGGCATTTCTGGAATGGAAAGGAAATATTATGATATTTTTCCAGGAACTGCTTATCATATTTGGAGTAAGAACTACTTTTTCTGGGTTGTATTTATTTGAAGTACATGGCGCAAAATAGAAACATGAAGGAATGAGGATTTTCGTTAATAGAAACAGTGAGAAACAACGGTATAAAATAGGCAACATGCAACATGGAACTACAACAAAAGGGTCCTCTTTACATTCTCAGTGATATTTTTTATTGTATCGCATAAAGTGCTATTGTTAATATTAAAAATTAATTGGTACCTTCAAAGGAGCTGGATATAATCCCCCAGACATCTTCATAACTTGTGCCCTAGCTTTTTTGAAAATTTGATCCTTGACAAAGTCATATTGCAAAGCCATGTCCATAACTTTCTCCATAAGGCTTTTTTTCTTATCTGTGGACAATTTTTTTGAAGCCAGCTGCTTGGCTACATCAACAGCGACAGTTTCCAAATATTTTCGCGTCATATTTTCGGGAGTGTCCAATCCTGGGCCTAGAGGATCTACTAGAAGATCGACGACACCCAATTTTTTAGCTTTATCTGCTTTAAGTGTTTTTCCTGTTAGGGCCATGTCTAAAGTAGTTGGTACACCTGCTATTTTTGGAAGACGTTGAGTACCACCGCTTCCTGAAAAAAGATTTATTTTATTTTATGTGATCAACAAGTGTCTCAGAAAAGTTCCCCAGAATCCCAACTCTCCAGATTTATACCAATGTAAATCTTTTAATTCAGACTACCCCAATTAACTCTATTTTTACCTGGCAAAAGTCCCAACATAACCTCAGGCAATCCTAGTCCAGTTTTCCTATCCTTAACCGCAATCCTGTAGTGGCAAGCCAAAGCTGTCTCGAGACCACCACCAAGACAAGAACCTTGAATAGCGGCTACGAAAGGCTTAGAACTAGACTCGATAGCATCAAATATCTTTTGACCTTCTTTGGATAGGGTTACAACTTCTTCTTCAGTCTTACAGCTGGCGATCATGTTGATGTCTGCTCCAGCTATGAAGCAATTCGGTTTATTGGAAATTAGCACGCACGATTGGATTTGGGGGTTCGATTGGACATCTGAAATAATTTGTCGGACTTCGGTCATTACTTCTTTGTTTAGCGAATTCACCTGCAAATTGTTTATAGGTATTAAATGTCAGTGACGAATGACGGCTTCAAAAAAAATATTAAAAAAAAAAATGTCGGGGAAGATTTTGATGATAGGGGATCTCATACACATTGAAAGAACCAATGGGGACCACCAAATTGCCATAGTCTCGGAAATCGAATACGATTCAGACTGCCTCAAAGTTGAATGGCAGCAAGATGACGAGACCAAGTGTAAAGAAATCCATTTTAGCCAAGTGAAAAAGTTAAACCCCACTGTGGTACTGTTGGAACCTCTAAATCAAAGCACATATAACCGCGTAGATCAAGAAACAGTAATGGAACCCTACAGAGTATCGAGAAGGAGAGTGCACTCGTCCATATCCAGGTTTCAGTATGATGATAAGCCTCACATGTCAGTAAATGTTAAAAAAATTGGAGTCGAGAGTAAGGCTACTAGCATTACTACAAATTCTGCTGTTCAGACAGCGGCAGCTTCTAGCAGTAAAATGAATGAGACTTTAGGAAAGCCTGCAATGATTGAACAAAACAGGTTTGTAGCATGGGAGTTGTCACTCATAAAAAAACATGCGACTTTTTCACAAAAAAGTCTACGAGGGTCCAGAATTGTAGTGGTAGCCACACCTGAGCCTTGTTTTGCATTACTGACAACAATCCTTGAAATATAAGATTTCTTATGATGCAAGGAATATGTCCGATGATATAAGATTTGTCCTGTTATATTATCAAACTTATTTCCTGGTCTGCATCATTTTTATTTTTGCTCCACTCAAATTGAGCATAATATTTGTGAATGAAGATCTTTTTCGTAATGTCTAATTGTGTAGTTATGTTTATTATAATTCCTACATTTTTCACTATAGGTTGTGTGGCAAACAGAAACAAGCAGAAACTAAAACCGAAAAGGACAAACCTATACGCAAACATATCAGCAACTGCCAATGGCAGCTTAGAAGTAAGATCCAAGATTATAGAAGGAAAATCGAATGGAAACCTTTGTCCCACCAAGACGATATTGTAGAACATCTTATTACTGTGGCAGTAAGGAAGCGTCGATTGAACAAAAGCGAAATTGCCAAACAAGAAATTGACATTATTACAGTGCCTACCAAAAATAAAATAATTGTCCACGAACCAAAAAACAAAGTAGATTTGACCAAATATCTAGAAAACCACAATTTCATATTTGATTATGCCTTAAACGAATATTGCTCCAATGAAATGGTATACAAGTACACTGCTCAACCTTTAGTCAAAACAGTATTTAATGGAGGCTATGCCACTTGTTTTGCCTATGGACAAACAGGCTCAGGAAAAACTTACACTATGAGCGGACACTTTGACACCCCATCAGAACAAGGCATTTATGCCTTAACAGCCAACGACATCTTCAAATTCGCCAAAGCCTCTAAATACCGTCATCATAATTTCATAGTTTCTTGTAGCTTTTTTGAAATTTACATTAAAAAAGTCTTCGATTTATTGAACAATAAAGAAATATTGAAAATTCTTGAAGATGGCAATCAGCAAGTGCAAATTGTTGGTCTAACGGAAAAAGTTGTTGGTTCAGTAAATGAAGTTTTGGATTTAATTTATCAAGGCCACGAAGAAAGAGCCTGTGGCCAAACATCTGCTAACACCCAATCGTCTAGGTCCCACGCAGTATTTCAATTCTACTTGAGAAGTCAAGTGAACCCTGGAGTCGTTTATGGGAAATTTTCTTTAATAGATTTAGCTGGTAATGAGCGAGGAGCTGACACATTTTCCTCCTCAAAAATCACTCGTTTAGAAGCCTCTGAAATCAATCAAAGTTTATTGAGTCTAAAAGAGTGTATTAGAGCTCTGGGAAGGAAAGGAGCTCATCTTCCTTTCAGAGGCTCCAAACTGACACAAGTCTTAAGAGACTCTTTCATCAGACATAATTCAAACACTTGCATGATTGCCATGATATCGCCAGGAGTTGGCTCATGTGAAAACACTCTTAATACATTAAGATATGCGGATAGAGTTAAAGAATTAGGAGCAGGGGATGCTAATAATTCAAAATCAGAAATAAGTCTTAGAGATTTTTCTGAGAAGTCAAACCTAGATGAACCTAATATGATAAGACATATAGAGGATGAAAAGTTGTTGAAGCATAACCAAGAATTGGTAAGAGTTTTGGAGAAATATACGACTGAAGCCGAAATTTTGCTGCAAGTGAATCAAGAGGATTGCGAGACGTATCTTGAAAATTTGAAAACTATTGTTATTGATAGTATAGCTTCTTTAATAAAAATCAGAAATAGTTTAAAGTATTTTGTAGTTTTGGGAAAGTTTTATTATCTTATCATAGGTAAATATGTAGTAACTTTTATTATGACCAGGGCCTTATAGTAATTATTGCATTATATATTGCTAGATACTTACTTGTCTTAGCCCTACAAAGATTCATGATCTTTTGGAATCTGTATCTGTATTCTATCTGGATCTTTTGGCAACAATTTTCAAACATTTAGATACATTTTCTTGGTCAACAATTACTTGTTTAGAAGCCTCAGATATCAATAAAAGTTTGTTGCGTTAGGAAGTCTAGGAAGAAACGAATCAGGAATAGAAAACGCTTTATTGACTAAAGAAAAAACTCATTAACAAAGCTTGAAACATATACATTGAACCTTAAACTCTAAATCTCAGCAATACAAAATAATTATGTGATTTACACAATCAAATACTATACTGTAAATCACATATGGTTCAAGGTTCGTCAGTATAGTCTAACTGAAAATTACTGTTGTAATTTTGAAGATTTGGATCAGTCACTGATTTGTAACTATGTTAGTTCCATTACAAAAGGACCCTGGTTGGGTTAACTAAAAGAAATGGGGATCGAGATAACAGATACTATGAATGGACCCATCCATCGATGTATTGGTAGGCGCTGATGTAGCTGGAAAGCCATTTTCGGGACGTAAACATGAGTTAGAGTGCGGATTGGTCGCAGTTCATATAAGACCCTGTAAAAAACAAATCTCAAAAGGAACTTAAGAAGCATTGGTCATGGAACATTTTTTGTCAACAGTGAAGCAAAAAGATAATAAACGATATGAAGTAAGTATGCCGTGGCTTGAAAGTCACTCACCTCTGCCGTCTAATTTTGTCATAAAAAAGACTTCTTAACATCACGAAAAAGTTGGAAAAAGATAATTTTTACAATGTTTATGATGAATTTTTTGATAATTGGTTAGCAGATGGAGTGATAGAACCTCGGATAGAACCATTACCAGATAATAAAGGACCTTGTGAAATTTTATGTCAGTCTGGTCATTTTTTGCTACACCATCCAGTTTACAAACCTAGTGGTGCCACAACACCTGTGCCACCTGTTTTTGACGCATCATCAAGAGAAAAAAGTCAACCATCTCTGAATCAATGTTTGGAAAAGGGTATCAATCTTATTGAATTGATTCCTTCCATGATTTTACGTTTTCGAACAGAGAAGATTGGAGTAACTGCTGATATGAAAAAAGGCATTTCTTCAGATAAGCCTACAAGAAAGTGATCGAAATTTGTTAAAGTTCCTGTGATATGATAAAGAGAATAACTTAAAAATATTTAGACATACACGAGTGGTATTTGGAATATCATGTAGTCCTTTTTTATTAGGAGCAGTTATAGACTATTACCTTAAGGAAACTTTTGAAAAATCAGAACGCAAAGAAGTAATCTACAGTCAAGATGTTATTTCCAAATTAATGAAGTCTTTTTATGTTGACAACGTTCTAGTAAGTGGATCAGATAAAGAAGTTCTAAAACAATTTACTGAACAGTCTACGTCAATTTTGGCTGATGGTAAATTTGAACTAAGAGGGTGGGAGTATTCTTTAACAGAGTATGTTGAAGTTGAAGAAAGAAGCAACATTCTTGGACTTGTTTGGAACAGAAATTCAGACACTTTGGAACTTCCACTACAATTTTTTGATAAACTCGATATACGACAGGTGACCAAACGAATTACTTTATCCATAACTCATAAGTTGATTGATCCTATTGGCTTTTCGTGTCCAGTTAAGTTGATTCCCAAACTTTTACTCCAAAAGGCATGGTCTTCGAATTTGGGATGGAACGTTGAGGTTACTAGAGAAATTCGAGAAATATTTTTGAAGTGGCTACAAGATTTGCCATACTTGACCTATGTTGAAGTTCCTCGATAGATAGCTACAGTCTTTACATGTCTTCTGTGATGCAAGTGCCGACGCTTATGCAGCTTGTATATAGGAAAGAAGTAGATGAAGGTCAAGTTTGTTTAGGACTAATTGAAGCAAAATCTAGAGTAGCACCTGTCAAGAAGTTAACTATACCTGGTCTTGAACTTTTAGCTGCTACCATAGGTGTACGATTATTTCAAAACTTTTACAATAATCAGTGTCTAAAACTTGAAGTTTTCTTTTGGTCAGATTCATCAACAGTTTTATCTTGGATTAGCAGAGAAGACCAATGGAAACCGTTCCATGTGGAAGAAATAGAAAAGTTTACCAAGCCTGAAGATTGGTAGGTACCATGTTCCTGGTCAATTGAACCCAGCAGATCTTCCTTTAACAGGCTGTTTTGCAAAAGCACTAGCTGAAAGAAGATGGTGGGAGGGACCTCGATGGTTACTTGATCCAGTTTCAGAGTGGCCAAGTCAAAATTTTGAGTGTGACAAAGAAGAAGTTAGTAACGAAAAAAGAAAGACTGTAGTTTCTTCTTTGATTGTAACCAAAGATTTTTCATGGTATTGCCAGTATTTCTCAAAATTCAGCCAAATAGTCAACATGATTGCGTGCGGATGCTACAATTTGTCAATAACTGCAAAAAGAAGAATACCAAAAACAAGAACTTTTTGACACTAAAGGAATTAGAAGTGTCAAGAAAAGTTGTCATCCGGTTTATACAAGAAGAAAGTTTTCAGTTCGAAAATGATTCCAAACTGTCACCTTTATGTGCGTTTATCCATGAAGACATGCTCGAAAACATGTTAATCAGGGTGCGAACTAAGATATCACACAGCTGTATGTTCCACCCTCAAATCATGTTGTTGTTAAACTTCTTATTTTCGCAGAACACAATAAAACCAACATTGTTGGTGTACAAGGATTGATGAGCATTTTACGGGAAAACTATTGGATTTTTCAATGCCGATACACTGTTAACTCAGTTATTATTATTATTATTATATGTAAACGTTTTAGAGGAAAATTGTTAGATACTTCTGTCATATGTTTACCAGAGAACAGAGTATGAGTTGCTGCAGTGTTCGAGATTATTGGAATAGATTTTGCTGGCCCTATACATCTTAAATCTAAGCAAAAAGTGTGAATTGTACTGTATACTTGTACCATCTACTGTGCTGTTCACTTAGAGTTGACTTCATCCTTATCTAGTAATGCCTTTCTACAGACAAACAATTTATTCCGACTGTAGAAAGAATTTCTTTGGATGTGTAAATGCTTTAGAAGACATAGATTGGTCAATAGTAGCTGAATACTGTGGTACTGTACAGAAAATTGGATGGAGAATGAATCCTCCGACAGCTACCTGGTAGGAGTGACTCATAAGGACGTTGAAAGATTTATTACGTAAAACACTTGGAAAAACAAGCCTTGATATGGAAGAGCTACAGACTGTACTTTGATATTGTGAGGTGGTTTCGAATGCACGACCACCGACGTATATATGTCTGAAGATCCCAGTGACTATGTTGTTCTAACACTGTCAATGTTCCTACAAGATGGTAAAGAAGTAAGTAGGAACTGTAGATCTTGATTTAGTAGAAGCCAATGATCTGGGTAGACAATTTAAATATTGACTGAAACTAAGAGAAAATCTAAATTAGAGGTTGAAGTCAGAATATTTAGGTCAACTGACTTTTTTTCCAAGAAAACTTCTAAACAGACAGTAAAAGTTGGAGAGATTGTCTTGATATCAGATTATAATAAAAAGAAATTTGCATGGCCTATGAGACTTATAATTGAAATTATTCCTGGACTTTTTTTTTCAATTCAATTCAATAATGCTTTATTGTCGAAATTTTATAAAAACCATTGACAAAGCGATTCTTAAACTATACACACATTTTAATTTCTATCACAGTTAATAATATTCAAATTAATAATTAAACTAATACCCAATTGATTTTTCAAGTTAAGTAGGTACCTATCCATCACTTCAAGAGATCAAAACATAACGACATAAAATAGACTAAAATGTTAATATCACAAGCACATAAAAGAAAGCAGAAACAACATTATCAAAAACATATTAAAAAAAATATAAAAAATAATAATAAATAATAAATTTCTTATAATTTCAGTAAAGTAGGTACTAGGATAAAATACTAAAAAAATAGTTAAAATATATAAAAATTCCTACACAAACAAAGAAGAAAAACAAAATAAAAAAATATACATATTTGAAACCTTGTTAACACTTTAAAACAATATAAAAATAATTAAATGCTAACACAAAAAAACAACTAGGTATTTGGGACCTTTCAGAATTGACAATTTTATTATGTATGAGGGAACAATGATACAAAAGATTGTTATAATAAAAAGACTAAATTTTACTGATAAAATTCTTCAAGACTGTAGTATGCCTTTTCAATTAGGAATTCCTTGAGAGATTTACGAAACCCTTGATAATTGTTTTGGCATTTAATTTGGTTCGGCAAATAATTAAATATTTTGATACTTTCGTAAATAATAGAATTTCTTGTTAAGCCAGATTTTAGGATTGGCAAAGGTTAGTTATTGTTTCGCAAATTATGCAAGGAATTTCTTTCAAAACCTTGAAATCTCTTAAACACAAGACACGCTGTTTCCAAAACAAATATGCTTGGTACTGTCAAAATACTTTCTTGTATAAAAAGTGGTTTACAGCTCTGCCTACAGTCAACTTGGCAAATATACCTCACGGCTCTTTTTTTGCAAGACAAAAACAGATTGCACATTTCTTAAAGTTGCATAGCCCCAGAATGCGATTCCATATCTGATTTGGGAATCTATCAATGCATAATAGGTGTTTCTTGCCATATGTTTGCCTAGTTCCTGCCGTATGCTTTTAACAATATAGCAAGCTTGCGAAACTTTTTTATTCATTGTTTGGATATGGTGTTCAAATTTTAAATTAGCATCTATATGAAAACCAAGGAATTTAACGAAGGTCTTGTTCTCCAATACGCTTTCATTAAGTGTTACACTCTCCAAGTTGCACTTAAACGAAAGAATATTTGTTTTTGACACATTGAATACCAACCGGTTACAGTCACACCACTCTTTTACGATACCCAGGTCTTGTTCTATAATGCGCGCTAGAACTGAAGCATCCCTGTGTTTCCACAAAATTGTTGTATCGTCCGCAAAAATGGTAAAAAATCCGGAAATCGCCAAAGAAGCCAGATCATTTACGTAAAGCAGGACTTGATGGAGAAGTAAGAATAGTGAAGTTAAAAACGGCTTCGGATGAACTTTTACGGCCATTGCAGCACTTTTCACAATTGGAAATAAGAACTTCAAGGAATTTACATATTCTCAAAAAAGATGAGTTATGAAAGAAATCACTCAGAGAACCTGATGAGCAGCGGAAGGCCAGATCTGAAAGAAATGTTAAAATTCCTGCAAGACTTGGAGTTTAATAATTGTGTTATTATTTTGTTATAAGAATACACAAAGTGGGAGTGTGTTAGAAGCCCCCCACAATCCCCCTTATTCTTTTTATATTTTCTGATATATACCACCAGACCTTTGTGAATATGTCAGGGGAATGACAGTGATTATTATTGAATGATTAAAAGGTTATCACATCTGTGGTTGTCACAAAGTTCTTTGTAAAATAATAGTATTTTTGGAAGTAGTATCGGCTCTTGCTGCAAAGGTATAGCTATACTTGATAGAGGTGGACTCTGAAGATAAAAGGCAAATACTTTCAATTAAAAAAAAGTCAAAGAAGTATGAAAAACAAGTCTGATCCAGGCCCAAATGATAGTACAGTTTTTCAAAATCAACAATAGTTTCACCGCCTGCTATTGGACAAATTACATGATTACATGACCAAAACCTTAGGAAACAAACATTATACTATCGTTGCACTTTTTGGCACGGTCTATTCAGCCTTCCGTGTGACATAGAAGCTTCTCTGTCTGAACTTCCAGACACCTATTTTTGACTTTGAGATTCAGATGTTACAACTCAGCCTGACCTCCATTGTAAAAGTGGTCTTTGAACACAAGGTAGCACCCAGTTATCTTTGAAGCCCTGAAACTTATTTTAATGCCTTACCTTGGCGCCGGGGGAATCAAAAGTGATAACCCCCACATTGTCGACCACTTTAACATCAAAATGTTTTAGATTTGTAGCCGCAGCTGCCATATATCTCCGAGGAACTGAAAACAACATAGAGAACACTGTTGGGTACAAAGTACTTACATTGGCAATTTACTTAACTAATTGATAGAAAATGGAAAATTATACAAAAAATAGGCTAATTTGTTACCTGTTTGCCAACATTTCCGATTTGCCTTGGAAATTGCGGGTAAAACACCAAAAAACCGCACGCTCGACATTGCTCCTTTTGAAGTCCACAGTTTACTCTTTGAACTGTAAAAAAATAGGAGTAGTCGGGTATCACAAATGATTATAAAACTTAAAATTAAGTGAACATAAAATGTACTTTGGACCTTTGAAACGTGAAGAAAAACAAAAAAGTTTTATTTTGCTAAATTGAAGTTGGCAATATGGAATTTATGCGAATTTAGTGACAGAAGAATGGCCGTTGGTAGTACTGACTGATATAAATACATATTAAGATTTTGAAGGTAAATTTCCTAACATAACCTCACATTTTTACCAAATATAGTTTTTATACATCCAAATTTTTTAATTATTTTTATTTTCTGTATTTTTGAATAAAAACCATGGAAAATGAACAAGGAGATACGGTAGAACTTTTCCCCATTGATAAAGAAGAGCTCCTCAAAAAGCACAAACAAGAAAAGAAGGATCTTCAAAACAAAATTCAGTCTATGAAAAAAAGCATACCTAAAGGCGATAAGAAGAAGAAAAAAGAAATTACCGAAGAAATAGCCAAGCTAGAAACAGAATTAGAAGAAAAACACGCTCAGGAATTGCGCCAATATGAACCTGAAATTGTAGAATCAATACCCAACGATGAAGAACCTAATAATGAAGAGAATGAAGACAAAACGCAAGATTCTAAAGTGTCTAGAGCCCAAAAACGTCGCAATAAAAAGGCTGCAGAAGCAAAAGAACGTGAAAAACGGATAACGGAACAGGCAGAAAAAAATAAAGAAGGTCCCAGAATGGTAGAAATGAGCACAATAAGAAAAGCGCTTAAGGAAGTTAGTTTACAAATACACAACATACCAGCCGATGGTAATTGTTTATATTTAGCTGTAAACCATCAGCTACAAATTTTAGGCAGGCCTACTTTTACAGTTAATCAGCTAAGGAAACAAACAGCACACTATATGCTCACAAACAAATATGATTTTTTGCCATTTATGTATAATGAAGATGATGACTCGGAAATAATTAGTGAAGAATCTTTTGAAAGCTATTGCAAGGACGTAGAAAAAACTAAACTTTGGGGTGGTCAGTTGGAACTTAAAGCTTTATCAAATATATTAGAATGTCCTATTAAAGTAATTCAAGCCACAGGACCTCCAACAGTACAAGGCGAGAGCTTCAATAAAAATTCTGAATTAACTTTAACGTATCATCGACATTTGTATCGGCTAGGTGAACATTACAACTCAACTTTACCCTTGGTTGCAGAGGACGAAGACTCTGTGTGATTATTGTTTTTTTTTAAGATTTTTAATAAATTCCTTATTAATTTATTCACTTTTATCAATTACAATCTATGCCAAGTTAACAAAATACATACAACATGTCAACTTATTTCAATTTTCTAATATTTAAATTAAATTCTAAATCTGTGCAAAATTGAAGATTACAATACCTACATAGAACATGTAACAATTATGTCAATCTTATTTAAAAAAAATTTATTTCTTGTGATGTTTGGAATTTTTATTTCCTCCACCAAAGTTTCCCTTCCTTTTGCGGTTGAAGTGCTTGGATTTGTTACGTTGCGTAACCATAGCCTCAGAAGTCTTCTTATGATATTCCTTTTCTTCATCGCCTTCTAAGGTTTTGAGTTTAAGCTTGATTTCTCCAATTTCAAATAACCCATCGGTTAACGTTTTGAAAAAATCAATAGCATTATTTTCTTTTGCAAACCGGACATAGCCTTCCAAATCTCCTTTATTGAAGTCAATGTAAGAAACATCAAATCCACTGGCTTCTTTAAGTTTTTCTTTAATTTCTTCTCTGAGTATTTCTTGGCCTTCAGTTATACCAGTGAAGTGCACTATTGCACCATTGGGAAATTCGATTTTTTGGGCATTCTCCTTAACGACAGCTTCCTTTTTTTCTTTTTGTGCCTTTTTACGTTCTTCAATTTCTTTCTTTTTACCATCATGGTAGTCTTGTTGCATTTTTCTGATCAGTTCAATATCTTTATATTTAACACTTTCAAGCTCTACAAATTTTTTAGCCCCTTCTATGTCTTTGAATACAATGAAGCAGGACCCTTTAAATTTGTGGGATCTGTCTACACGGCGAATTACCGATTCGGGAGGACCATATTCTTCCAAGAATGTCACAATATCGTCTAATTGGGAATCTGCGGGGAATCCTTTGGCATAAGCTGAAAACAGTATAATATAATTAGCAAAATAAGTTAGTTGGTACTACTGTACATACCAGATCTTTCTTGTAGCTTCTTTATATGTGATTCATTATTTTCTGGCACAGGCTTTTCCGGATTCCTTCTGATTTTAGTTTTATCCTCGTTGACCAAAACGATTTTTTCCTCGGACTTTTCCAGGGCTTCCGCAATCACCTTCAAATCGTCGCAAATGCCGGAAAGCCTTTTGAATTTCAACATTACCTCTAGCGGTACCCATCCATCTTTGTCTTCCTTGATTTGGGTATTCAGGAAATTGTCTCTGGGCAAGTTAACATCGCCAAAGTAGTATTCGACTTGCCGAATAATTTTCTTTTCTAAATCAGATGCCATTTTCCGAAGAAATTATCATAAAGGGTACAAAAAAATTACAAAAACACGTGGACAAGGACAAGCCGCCAAATTGAAATATCAAAAACACAACGCACCCAAGCGACAGGGAAATGAGGTTATGGCCTCAACCTCAACTGTCAAAAAGGTTTTCATTTGTAGCTAGTTATCAGCTCGAAGTTGACTTCACCCTGGATCGAACCGAACACGCAATGCAATATTGCACTGCACTTTCAAAGGTGTGTTTTTTTGTTGTTCGGAGCAGCACTTCCTCCATTGGGGCGTTCGTTTGTGAAGTGCAATATTTTGTTACGAAACTGTTTAGTTCATGTTCAAAGTGCACGCACTTGCTTTCGAAGAGGAGTGAGTATCAGCCTAGCATTAAATGTCAGAATTGACAACATTTGACGGTTCCTTGTTCTTGTTTTCGGGACAAACTACTTCCATAAACTGTACCTAAACACAAACGCTTTCGCGAGAAACTCATAGCGTCATATTAGTTGTATTCCTTTTACACCTAGGAGGAGCTCCGGAAGAGCTCCGGGGCATCACGCACTTATTCCTTTCGAAAAGTGTTTGTTGCACCACGCATCTGTTCCATGCAAATTGGGGGCGACTGAGCACCGAAGCGAGTAGCTCGAGTGTTTCAAACTCTTGAAAGGAATACAACTATTGAACGTAGTTCCCGGGGTGCGTTCAAGGACAGCAATGCTAATGCCAAAACCTACTTTTCCCCCTCCACTTGTAATGCCGAACCATGTAGGTTGGAGCCGAACTCGAACGCAAAAGGCCAATTTTGGCTTGGCTGTAGCTATTCCTGAACGCAGCCCCGGGAGCATGGACGCAGCTTCTAGCCAGCGTTCAAACTCACGACGTCTCACGACGAACTATGGTTTGTCCTTGGATGAAATGCATTCGTCGCGAAAATTCGGTTCTTATCTGCCACAAATCAAATCTAGAACTATTGGTTTATGTCAGAATATTTATTGTTCTTAAAAGCAGTTAATGTTAGTGCTAGACAAACAAACCTCAAGATGCCAGTTGAGTGCGCAGCACTATCAATTGTTGCATTCCTTTCAAGAGCTTAGAACACTAGAACTACTCGCTCCGGTGTTAGTCGACCCCGATTTGAAAGGAACAGATGCGCAGTTTTTCGTGCATTCAAATGGTTTTGTTCGGGCTTGAGCACTTCAGGTGCAACAAACACTTTTGGAAAGGAATAAGCGCTTAACGCCTCGGATCTGTTCCAGAACTCCTCCTAGGTATGAAAGGAATTCAACTAATATTTAGTTGTAATCCTCAGGCCCGACTCAAACCATTTAAATGAATGAAAGCCAGCGCATCTGTTCCTTTCAAATCGGGGTCGACTAACACCGGAGCGAGTAGCTCTGGTGTTTTAAACTTTTTAAAAGGTTGTCGAAAATCAAGGATTATACACACTACTATTATAGAATAACCTATCCTCCTAAAGCCTATGTGGAGCAAATTTGAAGCTCCCACTTCGCCAAATCACCACTTGTGACGTAGCAGCATGTCCTTTCTGGCCTTGACGTAGGCTGTTTGCACTACAGGTTATGATTCCGCTGGCTTTTGCTTTATTCATACTTGGATTTTCTACATTAATTAACATTTTAAAATAATTCTTTTTTAGATCTCGTTTTCATCTTCCTCTTTGCCTATGTTGATTGTTGACCAAAATTAAATAATATTTTTCATCAAAAATTTAAATTCTAAGCTACGATCGCTAGTGCAAACAGTTGACGACTTAGTTATGACGTTGGAAATGGCGCTACATCAATATGGCGGCTATTACCAAAAACGAGGCTGATAAGCAATCCTTAGTAGTGTGTTTTATCCTTGCTCGTTTTAAAAAGGGGTACAACTCGGCACAACCCTAACCGCATTCTTGGGTGACGTCATGAAAGTAGTATTCACTTGTCGTGATCGCAGCCGTGGAACAATGTTCGGAGTCATTGGTTGCGTTCATCAGGACATTCTTGATTGATCGGTAGCGTAGCGAAATAAAATTATGATGGAAAAAATCAAGGATAAAACACACTACAAAAGGCCGTTTGCACGCAAGAATAATACACAGGGATTTCTTATCGGCCTCGTTTTTGATAATCGCGGCAATATTCGTGTAGCACCAGCACCATTGGCGACGCCATTAATTAAAGGTGGGTTCGGCTTGCTCACTCCGTGTGACTCTATTCGCGCTCTAGCCGTTCGGGTTAAGGTTCGAGTATTGCTTTTTACCGTATTAGGGGTGACTCCATTAGCTGAACCCAGCTTAAGTCGTCAGCTGTTTGCGCCAGCGGTCGTAGTTTAGAATCATTGAAGTAGTTCACAATTTAAATTTATGATGAAAAATATTATTTAGGTGGCGTTCCGTATCGTAACAGTGGAAAGTTCTCGTGCGTCAGACGCTACTCTAATACGGTAACGCTAACAATACGGTATTTCACATGGTATTTTATAGTTCTCGGGCACAAAGACACATAAATCCTCTAATCCCTTATTCTGTTTACATTTTGACAGCTGAGTTGAGTGATCTAACCCCGCTTTTTTTGCTTTTTTTCTAACTTTCATTTATTCTGAACATTCCTGAGCTTGATTAATTTTCCCTTGGTGTTTTTTATGGACGAATTATTAGAAGTTGCTGTTATTGCAGACATAAATGGAGCGTCAACTAGTTTTGACATAGCATAGCGTTACGGTAAGGCATCCGGTAAGTTCCGTTAGATAGCGGGCTCCGTTAACGCTACGTAAGAACTGTCATACTTGTCAAATAGCGTTACGGTATTTGGACGGCACGAGAACTCTCTACTCTGGTTCCTGAAAATACGGGGGCGGATTACGAACTCTCGATTCGAACCGAAACCGCCATGGATTTTGAACGCACTCCATACAAATGCATCAGAATGCGTTCGAAATGCATGACGGTTTCAGTTCAAATCGAGAGTTCGTAATCCGCCCCACGGTTTATGTGTTGAATAAGTGGGCCCTGGTGGAACGCTTCGGTTCAGCTTTGGTTAGGTTACGCTTGGATGCTAGGTGCGCGGAAGAAAAATGAAAAAATGGAAAAATTATCACCTAACCTCAACATCCGATATTGAAAACAAACCGAAAAAACCAAGCGTTTTGATCAGTAGACAGTTGGGACCGAATTTTTTTGGAACCGCGTTTGATATCCTAACCAGATTTCAGGAGTGGTTAGGTTACGGAACGGGAACTGGAAAAACCAAGAATCTTGGTTAACTTACGGAACGTCACCTTAATTTTGCGTAACAAGCTTTGTTTCAACCGACATGAGAACCGTTCCAGAACCAGTAAGGCCGGATTTTCATGCATCCGTTTTCCGACGAAATATGTCCGAAAAATCTTCTATTATGACATATTTTCATACGATTATGTCAGAATAGAATGTTTTTCGGACATCTTTCGTCGGAAAAACGGATGCATGAAAATTAAGCTTAATTTCCATTTGCCCACCTATTTTTCAATAAGTTGAACGAGGTCATTGGTTGAACGTTTATCCTACTTGACAAATGAATTGATCGATTGGAACAGAGCTACAAATAGAAACATGCAAACGAGATCTAAAAAAGAGTTGTTCTGAAATATTTGTAGTAAGACGTAAAACCTATGCAGAAGCCCGCTGAATCATCACATAGAGAAATAACACACTGCTACGTCATCGCTGGTGCTTTGGCATAGTGGGGGACTTCAGATTTGAATTACAGTTTAACACATTTCACTTCTGCGCATGCTTGCTCTAAAAAATTTCCTTTCCATTTACTCGATCGCTAATGGAGTCACTCCTACGCCAAAAAGCAATACCCGAACGGCTGGAGTGCGAATGGAGTCACTCGAAGTGAGCAAGCCGAACCCACCTCTAAAAGGACTGCTTAATGAGCTGAAAGTGTCTGCCATTTCAGTCGCAGACCTTAATGTTATCACCTTTCCTACATATAAAATCGATGAAAAAACAAGCACAACCTCATTCACTGGCATCCCATCGAGGCCTGCAGATGACGTCACCACTATAAACTGCTATGCTGCTAATAGTGTGACGACCTAACATTCAATAGAGAGTTCTCGTGCTGTCCAAATTTCAAATACCGTAACGCTATTTGACAAGTATGGCAGTTTTTACGGTATTAGGTCTGTTCGCAGAGAAATCACAAACCAGTCAGAGTGAATCTTATTGGTTGAAACTAGTTTTTTGACTGTTTCTGATTGTTTTCAACCAATGAAATTCGCTCTGACTGGTTTGTGATTGCTGTGCGAACAGGCCTATTAGCGTTAACGGAGCCCGTTACCTAACGGGACTTAACGGATGCCTTACCGTAACGCTATTCTATGTCAAAATTAGTTTACGCTCCATTTACGTCTGCAAGAACAGCAATTTCTAATAATTTCTCCATAAAAAACACCAATGGAAAATTAATGAAGCTCAGGAATCTTCAGGATAAATAAAAGCTAGAAAAAAAGAAAAAAAAAGTTGGGTTAGATCACTCAACTCAGCTGTCAAAATGTAAACAGAATAAGGGATTAGAGGATTTTTGCGTTTTCGTGTTCGAGAACTATAAAATACCATGTAAAATACCGTATTGTTAGCGGTACCGTATTAGCGTAGCGTCTGAGACACGAGAACTTTCTATTAATTGAAAGGCACCGCAAAAAATTCTGTATCCTGGTCTGACTACACTAGAGCAAGGTGTTGGCATATTCTGAGTGCAGCACATGTTTGGCAATTTGAAAACACTACAAAGCGGCGTTTCGTATCTTAACCAGAGTTACCGATTGGTATGGAGCGGTTCGTCTATGGTGACAGGCTGGTTCCTGGGAATGCGGTTTATGTATGGAACCGCGTTTCATAACCTAACCAGATTTCGGGAGTGGTTAGGTTACGGAACGGAAACCGGAAAAACCAAGAATCTTGGTTAACTTACGGAACGTCGCCCAAGTTTCTGCTGCGCTGCGTCACTATGACAAAACTGACAAAACGTCAAAAAAATTTCAACGTGGTTTTGAAGGTTAAGGCCGGCTACTAAAAAAAATATCAAATTACCTATATAAAATTGATATTTGAATAATATCCAAAAATTATGGCTGAAACGGGCGGTGATAAGCTCTCCAAAAAGTAAGTTTTCAAAATTCTTCTGCAACCTGTCTCCAGAACCCTTTCAGTTGTTTTCAAACTAATTTTTAAGATGTTGCAAAGATTGCATATTGTAAGCAGGCATATTGCCTCATCTAGCATTTTACGAAATTTATCCAAACGGTAGGTTAGTTTTTCAATTTTTAACTAATTATAACTCTATTTTTTTCAGTGAACTTAAACGAAGGCTCAAAGCCGAACAAAAAGCAAAAGAAAAGTCTGAAAAAGCTGCTGCTGCTCCTCCACAAGAAACCAAAACGTCCACTAAAATAGTCGAAGAAGAAATCAGCCCTAATGAATATTTTAAGCTCAGGACCACTGCTGTAGAGCATTTGAAGCAACTGGGAGGTGCCAACCATCCTTACCCACACAAATACCATGTATCAATTTCTCTAGAAGAATTTATAAATAAATATTCATATTTGAAGGATAATGAAGTGCTAGATGATGAAATTATAAGCGTTGCTGGCAGGGTGCACGCTATAAGAGCTTCAGGTGCCAAATTAATATTCTATGATTTAAGAGGTGAAGGAACTAAGCTCCAAATTATGGCTACTGCCAATAAGTATGAGAAACAACCCGAATTTGAAGAAGATACTGATAAAATTAAGAGGGGAGATATTATTGGAGTTAAAGGAGTACCAACTAGAACAAAAAAAGGTGAATTATCTTTGATTCCAGTTAAGTTAACTTTACTGTCACCCTGTCTCCATATGTTACCCCATTTACACTACGGTCTCAAGGATAAGGAGACCAGATTTAGGCAAAGATATTTAGATCTTATATTAAACAGCAATGTACGAAAAATTTTCCAAATCAGAGCCAAAATTATCGCTTACATACGAAGATTCTTTGACGAACTTGGCTTTTTGGAAATCGAAACTCCTATGATGAACATGATTGCTGGAGGGGCAACTGCCAAACCTTTTACCACTCATCACAACGAACTCAATATGGATTTGTTTATGAGAATCGCACCAGAATTGTATCATAAAATGTTGGTTGTGGGAGGATTTGATAGGGTTTACGAGATCGGTAAACAATTCAGAAACGAGGGCATTGACTTGACACATAATCCTGAATTCACCACTTGCGAGTTTTACATGGCTTATGCTGATTATCAGGATTTGATCAGTATTACTGAGACATTATTATCAGGAATGGTTAAACATATTCATGGAACTTATAAGGTAAGGGTTCTTCTGATTAGGATGTTCAAAATCAAAAAAAAAAAATCAAAATCTTTATTAATGCATGTAGCATTTACAGATTATAAAAAAACTTAAAATTTTTAAATAGAACATTTTCGGCTTGTCGATACATATATAATACACACATAACAAAAACGACAGGAGCAAGATGGCAAACTGACCAATCCATAAATATTAAAATTTAAAAAAAAAAAAATATATATATAAATAAAATTCAAAACTTAAAAGTGAAAAATACAAAAAACACTTAATACTAAAGTAAAATATCCTTAGATTGCCTACAGAAAGTCTTATAATCACAGTCAAAAATATCAATGTCTTCATTTTTTTGTAACACTAAGTTTGCAATCCTACACATCCTATCTATGGGCATATTCATTTTCACTTCCAACGGGCAGCGGCCCAATTTTACAAATATTGCCACAATAATAATATTAATACTAATAACAAACCACATATAAATAAAAATTTTAAAAAGAGTACAACAAATTATTTCTAAATTAAAAAATTGAAAGGACAACAAAAAACAGCCAAAAACAGATCACAGGGTAAATCACTAGATTACAAAACAATATCACAGTGATAGCTTCATTTGGTGCAAAGACGCAGCAAATATGTCCACCTGTATCTCATTGGCATAAGACATAGCCCGATTAATGGTGTGTTGGCCATAAGAGGTACGATGTCTCTCCAACAAAAAACAGCGCACAGCTCTAAAATTCCTCACTGGGACATTCAAGTTTACAGCCAAGAGCAACTCAGGGCAATCCAGATAACCTCTGAGCAACTTAAAAATCAATAACTGATCAAATTTTCTACGCCTATGCTCCAATGTTTCCAATGACAAATTCTGCAAAAGCTGACCATGATCAATAAAATCTGAAGGTATTCCCATTTTGTACCCTATGTATCTCAAGAATTTTCTCTGTACACGTTCAACTAATTCAACATAAATTTTATAATGTGGTGACCACACACAGCTATTATTTTCAAGATGGGAACGAACCAAAGACACATACAAACACTTGAGAGCAGAAACATTCTTAAAGTCTCTTGTGTGTCTTTTGATAAAACCCAATATTTTCAATGCTTTATTACAACATGCATAAATGTGTTCAGAAAATGACAATTTTGCATCGAATACAACACCTAGGTCACGAATACTAGAAACATTTTCAATAACATTATCATTTATATAATAGTCATTTAGTTTGGGAGAATTTTTCCTAGAGAACTGAATATATTTGCATTTCTTGCCATTCAATGTCATCTCGTTCTCAACACACCACTCATGGAACCTCAGAAGATCATCCTGCATTCCCCTGTCTGGGCCTTCTTGATTTATACTCTTGAAAATTTTCAAGTCATCGGCATATAACAAAAATTGGACATGATGGAAGCAAGACCCTATGTCATTGATAAATAAGCAGAACAGGAGTGGTGCAAGATGACCCCCCTGAGGCACCCCAGAAGTAACACTAATAACCTCAGATTGAAATGACTTCACCTTTACAATCTGGCTTCTGTCTACAAGATAAGAATACAGCCATTGAAGAAGTGAACCACATACACCATATTTGGAAAGTTTTTCTATCAACAATGCATGACTCACCCTATCAAAGGCCTTGGAGAAGTCGGTATAGATAGAATCTACAACCTGACCGGCCTCCAAGGCCCCCGATATGGCTCGTTCATACACTAGCAAATTTGTTGTTATAGATCGACCACTGGTAAAACCATGCTGTTCTGGAATTATTATATTTTTAAGTTTTTCAGTTAAAAAATCGTTTACCAGTGATTCAAATATCTTTGGGAAATGAGACAATAATGTAATAGGGCGATAATTCTCAACATCTTCCTTGTTGCCAGAGTTTTTGAAAATCGGACATACAAAAGATAGTTTCTAATATTTTGGAAAAACTCCAACAGACAATGATTTATTATACAACAGCCACAAGGGTCTAGATAAGGCTAGTGCACAGTTCTTAAGAAATGTTGGAGGTATTCCATCAGGTCCTGGACCTTTATTTATATTGATGTGATTCAGCTTATTGAAAACTTCACCAATGTTAATAGATAACTTATTGATATGTACCATGTCTCGAAAAGCAATAAGTTCACTACTGCTCACATTACCCGTAGGACCAGCAGACGCGTAGACCGATGCAAAGTGCCTTGCAAAGAGATTTGCAATGCCCTCACCATCAGACGCCACGCCCCCCTGATAATGGAGTGTGGGTGGCAACTCTCTAGAATGAGTTTTAGAATGGATATATTTCCAGAAATTTTTGGGATCTTTTAATACATTATGCTCAGTTCTCTCAATATAATCAAAATAACATCTTTCTGCTTGAACCTTACAAGCAGCTCTCAGCTGTTTAAAATAATTGTAATCTTCCAAGCTATAACAATTATGTTTGTATCTTTTATGGGCCTTTTTTTTTCAATAGTGAGATTTTTCAATTCAGGACTAAACCATATTGGGAATTTAAACTTATTTTTAATTTTTTTCTTTGGTGTATGCAACTCAATGGCTTGACAAACAATATTGTAAAATAAATCTATATCACTGTTGATACAAGAATCTAAAACTACATCCCAATATATATTCAGCAGTATTTCACTAACTGCATTAAAATTACATTTACAAAAATCATAAATTTCATCTTCAAATTCTAAAAAATCACAGACAGTATCACATTTAACATTAATTAATAAAGCAGGATGATGCCTATCACAGTTCAATAATGGATCGTCCGAGGGGTAGGTCACTCGATAAAATTTGTACACCTAATTACAAATACATTCAATTACATCTATTTTTTTGTAATTGAATGTATTTGTATGTAATTGTTTGTAATTGGATATAATCGAATGTAATTGAATATAATTGACTGTAATTGAATATAATTTATTGTAATTGAACCTAATTGAATGTAATTGGATGTAATTGAATGTAATTGAACGTAATTGGGAGGTAATTGAGGTAATTAAATTTATTTTTCAATTACATTTTACCATCTGTTCACTTAATTAGGGAGTAACTCAGGTCGTAACAGCCTAGTAGGAAAATTCTGAAATTAAAGAAGAACTATTCTCATTGATTAAACACTGAATTTATTACGTTTATAATATTCATATACACTGAGCAAAACGAAAAAGGAGCCGCTTCTGCATATGTTCGTATTTTTTAAAGAAATTATTTTAATAAAGAAATTATATTTAATTTCTAAAGTTGTTCCTTTTTTGTTTTGATCAGTGTATTTTTTTATTAACTTTTAATAAACATTCAAATTTTGGAAGTCCACTGGGAATTGTAAATGGCCTCGTTTATTGAACTCCGGCTCAGGAAGAACCATATATACATAGCTTTGAGAAACTTCACAATATATATCTTTTTTGTCTGGCCAGATAAAAACATTATTTTGTCTCTTCAAAAATTCAACTAGGTATTTGCTGTTAATTTTTATTGTCTGTCCAACATAGCGCTTAACTGACTTATTGCCAACGTAGGTTATAAACACCCATGATCCAGATTTATATATTTCATCAATTTCTACATTTTCTTCCCTTTGCTCTTGCTCTTTCATTTCCTCTTCTTCTAAAATGTCTTGAATGTCGTAGCCTGACTCACTATCATGCAATGAATAATCAAATAAACTGTCTTCGTCACTTGAAAGATCACATGTTTTTTTTTTGTTTGCATAATTTACTTTTATATTCTTTGCTTTTATGTTCAGATTTTTGAGAATAGCGCTTACGTTTGCTTGGTTGGTTTTCAGCTTTATCAGCAAAATGTTCTTTTATTTTTTGTAAGGTCGATTGTTTTATTGGAAATAAAGATGAAGGATAAAAAGGTTATGTATTTATATCTAATTGACAGTAATTGATTGTAATTAGATTTAAAAATTTAAAAGTATTTCAACGTAATTGAATGTATTTGAAAGTATTTGAATGTAATTAAACGTATTTGAGAGTATTTGGAAATATTTGAATGTAATTAAACGTATTTGAAAGTATTTGAATGTAATTAAACGTATTTGAATGTAATTAAATGTATTTGAATGTAATTAAAACGTAATTGATTGTAATTAATTAAATGTATTTGAACGTAATTGAATGTAATTAGGTGTAATTGAAAGTAATTGAATGTAATTGAATGTAATTAAATGTAATTGAGTGTAATTAAATGTAATTGAAGGTAATTGCAAGGTAATTGAGGTAATTAAATGTATTTTTCCAATTACATTTCAACATTTGTACACCTCTAATTGGGGAGTGACCTACCCCTCGGGATCGTCTATCAGTTCCACACAATCAGAGCAATTATCACAAAAAATTAAGTCAAGAAGTACACTGTTAACATTCCGAATGGTATTTATTTGACAGAGATTGAGGAAAGGAAAAGTCTCTATGATTGACTCAGCTGCAGGGCAGTACCCGGTGGTCATAGTACCCAAGGAATCATTGGTCCATGCAAGCTTTGGTAGGTTGTAATCACCTGCAATACACAAACCGAAGTCTGGATATTCTTGCGCCGCACGTTCAACTGCGATACTGTGGATGTCATATTGTTGTGCATTTGAGGCAGGTGGGATATACACACAACAAAATAATTTTTTAAAAGAACCAAATTCCACAGCAACCCACACTTCTTCAGAGAGCTCATTAGCTATGTCAATCAATCGGGACTGTATACCTTTACATATAGCCACTAGTACACCTCCATTTCTATTCTTACCAGTCTGTAGAGCATTTCTGTCTCTTCTGTAGATATTATAATTGCACATACCGAGTTCAGCATCTGAGTACTCATCATTCAAAGAAGTCTCTGTCATCATAATAATGTCATAATGGCAAGTAGAAATATTATTACACAAATCAACAAGTTTTGTTCTTAGCCCATTTACATTTTGGTAATATATATTCAAAGAATGAGCATCAGTACCTAATACCTCTGCGGTCTTTGAGATCGATTCTGGCCTCTCTGTAAAAAATGACTCGGCTTACCAAAAGGTTGCCTATCATTTCCTCGGTCATTTCTAAAAAATGTAAAGTCTCTGACTGTCACATAAGGTGGCCAAAAATTCACTTGTTTGAGCTGAATCTCATATAAAGAGTCGACACCAACCTTGAAACTGTTGAAGACGTCTCCGCTGCTTAGTTGAGTAACACTTATATCTTTTAGGCTTATGGCAGGTATTTTTTTTTGGATGTATTTTAATAGTGTTTGGCAATTAATGCCATAATTGGTCCTATGAAAAGGAAGGCTAAACAACTCTTTTGTAAGGAGCTGAGAGTAGGTTATGAAGTGGACATCTCTTTGTTAAAATCAAGACAATATTATCTTTCAAATAATGAAATTTAATCAAATATTTTATCACAAGACAAATTTGATCGATTAAACTATCCAACATGATTTTGATTGGAAAATAGTTGATTTTACAATTATTTAATAAAAACCAGAGACTGAAGAGGTCAGTGGTTTTTATTTTAAAAGGCGGATGCCATCCTAGATTGCCTCATTTCTGATTCCAAATGCCATTTCTTACAGGTTAAGTATCATCCCGATGGTCCTGAAGGTGAAGAATATGAAATCGACTTCACTCCGCCTTTTAAACGAATCCCAATGATCCCTGCCCTAGAAGAAGCATTAAACGTAAAATTCCCTCCGGCCACAGAATTTTATGCGCCATCAACAAACAAATTCCTTGACGATCTTTGTATTAAGCACAACGTGGACTGTACAGCTCCAAGAACAACATCTAGATTACTAGACAAACTAGTCGGCGATTTTATTGAAGAAAAATGCATCAACCCTACTTTTATCATGGAACATCCTCAAATAATGAGCCCATTGGCTAAGTGGCACAGATCTATTCCAGGATTAACAGAAAGATTTGAGTTGTTCGTAATGAAAAAGGAAATTTCCAATGCTTACACTGAATTGAATGATCCGATGGTGCAAAGGCAACGTTTCGAACAACAAGCAGCTGATAAAGCTGCTGGAGATGATGAAGCTCAGTTGGTTGATGAGAATTTCTGTACTGCATTGGAGTACGGACTTCCGCCTACAGGAGGATGGGGTTTGGGTGTTGATAGGCTTACAATGTTCTTAACTGATAATAATAACATTAAGGTATAACATTTTTGATGGATTATTTATTGTAGGCAATGATCTATTACTATAGATAGGCGGAGCAGTATACAAAATTTTGGTATATCAGTACAACTTTCTCTCTGCCTACAAATATGTATTTTATGTTTAAATACTTTGTCTATCTGTGCTAATAGGTTATTGGTTGTAGGTGTGTGAGTATTATTATTATAAAAAATGTTTAATTTTTACATAGGAGGTGCTGTTGTTCCCGGCAATGAAGCCAGATGATCCGAATAGGCATAAGGACGATAAAGAACAAGAAAATGAAGCACCAAAAGAAAATTAAAGAATAAGTATTTGATATTTATTTTGTACTTTTTAAGGGCAATAATATAAATAAACATTATGAAGTTTATTCATTTATTTGAAAACTTCCTTCAATCCTAAAAAATGTGATTTTTGTAAATTAATATTGATGCATTTCTTGTTGCTCTATCGTTATCGTTGGCTGTTCAGTATGCAGATTTTTTTTTCTTTAAATTCCAGATTTGTCCGTTTAAGACTTATTTCGTCTTCTTCAAGAATATCTGAACTGTCTAGAAAGTTTCTGTTCTTGAAGAGGAATCTTGGAAATATTCCTGGATACTTAACTCTCAACATTAAAAAATTACAGTGATCAATCAAGGAGGAGTTTCTTGATACGAGATTTTTGTATACAAGCACTAATATTCATAGCTCTTGTGAATATTTGTGAATGTTCTGATGAAATCTTATATCCCTTAGGAGATCGAGAAATCTACTAAATTCTCTAATCCACCAACTCCATCCAAGGTAGATTCTAGTTTTAAGATTTTTTACTTTCTACTAGAAAAAAAGATCTCTAGTACATTGGGCGAATGTTAAGAAATCAAGGTGTTAGAAAATCTAGAAATGGATACATTATTTTTGAATTCCAAGTCAATTTTAACAATAATTTTCAACTTGAGTAGGTATGTGTTTGGATTAGAATCTGACGGAAATTAAAAGTCTTTAATTTCTGATGAGAAGTAAATCTGAGAGTATTTTTTGCCACCAAGTAATACTTGCTCTACTAGTAACTAAATCAGTGATGCCAAACAATTCTTCCTCAGTTACCAATTACCATGAACCTACGTAATAATAGCAGAAATATTTAGATTTTAGAGAAAGTCGAGACATAACATTATTACGGTGGGAATTGCTCGTGTTTGTGTTGCATAGCTGCAAAGATTGCCTCTTCTAGTCGGCGGAAAAGTAAAAGGAATTATTTATCTAAATGTTGAAATGTCAAAAGCGAGAAACTACGAATATGAATATACGTTTTTAAGTGATATTTTCGGACAGGATAATAAGTTTAGTGCCGGTCAAGATAGCCGTAATTCGTCTTGTTTAATAATGGGTGTCACTGTAAGTAACTTTCAGTGACTTTTACTTTATAGCTTAGTGCGATTTATTTTTATGGAAAAATTTATTAAATAATATGGGAGTATATAAACTATAGAAATTTGATTAATTACACTTTAAAAGATAGATCTACGAATTATTACTTCATAAATGTGGAATATGTGAAGAAAAATCTTTTGCGAAATCATTGTATTTATATATGAGATTAGGTATCTCTTTAGTTATAGTCATTAATCAATAATAATTATCCATCTAATTCTAATAGTATAGACAGGATTAGAAGTACCCAGGTACATTGATTGAGTTTTTATTGATCAACAAGTAATAATCTATGAAAATCCTTCATTGCATTTTGTTTGATTACGGTTTTATTGTTTTAAGAGCCCAAAGATTAAATTATTACTTAGATAAAAATAAATTTAAAAAAATATTATGTATATTGTCTCAAAATTTCTTTTTAATGAAAAAAGTAACGATTGCTGGTAAATAATGTACGTAATTGTAACGAATATAGGTAGGTACTCAATGGATCAATACCTTCAATAGAATTCTTCAGAATCGCAGCAAAATGATCTTTGCAGTTTGATGTTTGCAGTTTTGATGTCACGAGACATCGACAACATCAAATATGCAATGAACAGGGCTGGCATAAATTATTTTTCCAATACATTCCCAAGTACCTATAAGGGGTGGTATAAGCACGTGGCCGTACAATAAGTACAGGGTAAAGTAATAGAGGCAGATGGTTTATTGAATGTTAGATACATTTTTTATTTTTTTTACGAGGAATTTCATCCTCTTTTTGGCAGCATTCAGGTAGGTATTGCAATTTCCTAGGTAGGTACTGTTAAATCTCAGGTGCATACCACTATTTTACCTTAGTAAACATTGAATTTTAATTTGTTTTTTACGATTTACGATACTTATAAACCTTATATGGATTGATATAGAAAAAAAACTAATTTTATAGAAATCAATTATTTCATCAGAAATTGTCTAAGTACAACTTGATCCTAATTTACAAGCCAAGATGATCTATGGATTTCTTGAATCGCAATGTATGATAATAAAAATAATCACAGATAACGAAATAATCCCTGATTGAAGATTGAACTAAATGTTCAACTCAAATCAGTGTGATTTTAAACTGTTTTCATCGCTGTGAAGAAAGTTGGGGATGTTTACACTGGCAATTTGTACCTACATATCCACATAAGGTCTGTTTCCACAGAAATTACAAACTAGTCAGAGCGAATTTTATTGGTTGAAAATAGTCAGGAAACTGGTCATAGGTATACAGGGTGCGCCAAAAAGGTATTTTTATAAAATAGAACGTTTTGTATATTTTTGTTTTTCAAATAGTTTTTGCTATATTTGTGAAGCTAAGTTTCTAATGGCCATTTCCACCAACTAATTTAGGGAAGCCCTAACGATAGGTGTGCCTTAAACTGACATTTCTCCATGTAAAAAAGTCATTTTAGGGAATACTTATCGTTAGGGCTCGCCTAAAATGGTTGGTGGAAACGGCCATAAGGATTTTAAAAATGCAAAAATATACAGGGCGTTCCATTTAAAAAAAAAATACTTTTTTGGCGCACCCTGTATACCTATGGCGACAAAAAAAAATATCGTTGCGGCGATTAAGATCGTTGCAATTTACCAAGAAACTTTCCAATTTGAACATGCCCTTTATTTTTAATAATGAAAAGTTACTGAGTGTTCCAATTATAAACAAACACTCTGTACCTTATATACCTTTTTATTTTATTACAATAATAGGTACCTACTTGATTAGGCTCAGACGACTTCTGGACTTTGTTTGCTTATAGGGGAATCACGTAAAAAAAAATTGAACAGCGGCAGAAAAAAATGTTCATGTATACAGGGTGTCCCACGGTGGATGGCGTATTAGACGTTATTGGAGAACTGAAAAGCGGATCATTTCGAAAATTTGGCAACCGGGATAAACGACCATAATCTACACTTTAAAAATATTTTTGTTTATGCGGTGTTGCCGCTTCTACTCCAAACTAGTGGCAACATCGCTATTTCAAATGGAACACCCTGTATGTTATAGCATATTTGGATTCTACGTAAAATTCTGAACAGATTTCATGTGATATACCCTATACCTAAGTACAACTGTTTAGGAAATATTGACAGTTAAAAATTGACTTTTTGCAACTTTGACAGGCTGTAAAACCTGAACGGTTAATTTTAGAGGAAAACCGATTTCACATTCCTATCTTAGAATTCTATAAACTATCATTTGACATCAACTTTAAATATAATCCATGATTAAAAATTCCAATTAAATTTAATCTCCGGTTAAATTCAAAGTTGGTGTCAGATGATAGTTTAAGAAAATCTAAGATAGGAATGTGAAATCGGTTTTCCTCTAAAATTAACCGTTTAGGTTTTATAGCGTGTCAAAGTTACAAAAAGATAATTTTCAACTGTCAATATTTCCAAAACAGTTGAACTTAGGTATAGGGTATAATGCATGAAATCTGCTCAGTATTTCACGTAGAATTCAAATATGCAATCATATACAGGGTGTTCCATTAAAAATAGCGATGTTGCCACTGGTTTAGAGTAGAAGCGCCAACATCGCATGGTCAAAAATATTTTTAAAGTGTAGATCATGGTCGTTTATCACGATTCACGATTGCCAAATTTTCAAAATGATCCGCTTTTTGGTTCTCCATAAATGTCTAATACGCCATCCACCGTGGGACACCCTGTATAAACTGCTAGACACACAGATTTTTAGATAAAATTCAAGGTTTCATATTTTCGACACGAATAAAGTTATTTTCCTAACAAGTGCGCAAAGTGTTACTTTTCCGCACGCGAATACAGTTATACGAACGACGCGAAGCGGAGTTCGGATACGTGTTTGCGTGCGGAAAAGACACTTTGCGCACGTGTTAGGAACAAAATTTTTCCTACGAGCTTCATATCAGGTACGTAATAACAGAAATTTAAACAAAAAACGATAATTTGTTTAATTATTTTTAATTAACTTGAAGGGAACCTATGCATTTATCAAAAAATTACATAACAAAAAACAGAAAATCCTCGTCAGAGCTGTTCATCTTAAAGCGTTTAAATTTGATGAGAAAGTTTGTAGATTTTTGCATATAAATAGAGAACAAATCTGACAATGTGTCAAAGTTAATTTATAATTGGTGTTTGTATAGATGTTGGCTGATATAGAAATAGAGGAAAAATTTGTCATCATGTGTCAAAGTCGACAGGTGCACTTATTGTTGCTTGACAATTATAATTACTTTTCGGCACTCAGTGCGGATAAGGCCTGTATCCGCACTGAGTGCGGAAAAGTGTAACTTTGAGCCCGGAAATGCGTGCGGAAAAGTACTACTTTGCGCACGCTCGTAGGAAAAAGTTATTTTCTACAAGTGTCAAAAAATGATGATATTTGTACACTAATGCATTTCGCGCACTATTAGATACAAATTAACTATTTTAACGCGGTTTGTGGATTTCAATAACCTATTTTTTCCGGATAAAGCTTTCCGTAAATTTCTCATCATAGAACTATAGGGTTATTATATACAGGGCGATAAAATTGAATTTTACATAAAACTCTGTATGTATAAGATCAAGTGTCCAGCAATATATTTGTTTGAATCCAATCAAACAAAATTTTGAAAAAAAGTGTCCAGATTTCTCCAGATAATTAACTCGGCTCCTGGACTATTAGGCCTACTATAATTAATTATATTGACCAAATTCTCATAAATCCTTTAACACATTGCATGCCACGTGTATATCGGGAAAATATCCCACAGGGCCAGTTTTTCTCTTAATTTTTATCAAAGAGTAAATATTCAAATTTGCCCAAACCAAGTATACCGATATGTTCTGCTTTAAAATTCTTATGATCTATGATTGACACGGCCTGGTACGCTTAAGTGTACGTCAAGTATATACAGGGTGAAAATTTGAAAAGTAGCAATCAGGAATATTTCTTAGACAAAAAATACTATTAGGAAGAGCTTAAATATATAACCTGTTGGATTAATAATACAACAAAAATAAATCCTATTGCATATTGTAAAATAGGTACCTACTTCTTTATTAAACACGTACCTATATTCAAAATAGAGTCTCCAGAGAGACAATAAATAAATTGATAAATTATGCAGATAAGTCTAGACAGTCTACCTAGAAAAACCTTTTAAAATTGTACCTCAATAAATAAGATGTTATAGAATTTGGTATAAAGATGGTTTGGTAGGGTTTACCTATCATATTTTGTTTGGTGTTAATATTATTTTCCTTATAACTTTAGTTATGGTGTATGACGTTACATTTCTGCGTGGAATTAAAGATTCTACATAAAAACATTATCTTGTTTCAATTGTTGTCCTATATCCTATTTCCAATATAACCCCTCCTGTTTTGGAGGCTTGCCCCCTAATGATTTTTCTAAAATGAGAAACTACCCCTTTGAAGCCGTGACCATTTCATTTATCAGCTACAATATAGAACATGATCACTCGACTCTCCATCTGGAAAACACAGAAACAATTTTGCCTGGCAAAGTTGAAGAGCATTAAAGTCCCATTAGGCTGAATATTCACTTGAAATCACGTTGTGCAGCTGACACCCAACAGCAAATTACAATTCGACCATTTCTCGCCGGTATTCGGTAGTGCCCCACTGCTACACTTACCGTATATAGTATAATCGTGCAACAAATGGGATCCTAACCTATTATGGTGGACGGCCTCCCCAGGGGACACCAATTACCAAAAAGAAATAATCAAATCATAATTTGTTGCCCTGGATAATCAATGAAACGCAACTTCAATTGTCATTGAAAACATCTACAGCCAAATGCTTAAAGTCTAATATCAAACATTATGCTTAACCAGAAGTAGCTCAAGGGTGATTAGGTATAATAATATTGAGATAAATAAATCCTTCCATCAAAGGGCCCCATTCAATTCACGTTAAGATCGGTATCGATACCTACATGTTTCGCAATAACATGTATCTGAGATTTGTATCCATGTTTCAACTGCTCCTACAGGTTGAGATGAGCTCAGGAAACATTAGTTCAGTTCAACCAACGTAGATATTATTTATATAAATTCAAAACTCATATTGGAAACAACACTGTTTATATTTTAGTAGCGGGATACATACTAAACTTCAACATACACGTTGAAACAAGTATTAGTTGCATGCGTTCGGTATCGAAGTTACCGACGCCGGCGATACCATCTAATACCGATACTGAGACAGACAAATACACAATGAAAATTGTATCAAGATACTGGATACTTGAAACATGTATCGATACCGATCTCAACTTGCTGAAATGCACAAAACACCAATTTCAAATTGTTACGAAAATGTGATGAAAAACCTTTTGAGAATGATCATTATTCGAGTGGCCAAAACTACTAAGTGCAAAACAATTATCATTTCTTTTATGTAGGTACCCACTGTATACTTATTATGCATCAGATATGTATTATGTAAATAAAACCCCATAACTGTAAATAAAGGCTTCTTCAGGCCCATTTCGATACTGTAAATATTGTAAATAACCCCTTTGTCACTATATCTAAGATTAGTTTTTTCTGTAAATAAATGAACCCTCCCCTTCCTTCCACCATAAATGGTAGTTGCTCAGCCAGAAAGGCAACCATGAACTGTAATCACGTAAAAAATTAAAAATCATTAATGTAAATAAAGGCTAAGGTCCACTACGAAAGCTAATTAGGTATCGGAATTTCATTATAATACTCTTTTTGAGTAAATATATATGGCAATTTCTTAATAAATATATAAATAAATAAGACCTTCTTCATAGTATTTTTTGTCTAAGAGATATTCTCGATTAGTACTTTTCAAATTGTCACCCTGTATGTCAGTATGTCCGACGTGGCCTAAATGGAAACATCACTGTCGGGCGCGACATGCAATGTACGTTAACAGGCCTCTGTTCGCACAGAAATCACAAACCAGTCAGAATGAATTTCATTGGTTGAAACTAGTTTTCTGACTGTTTCTGACTGTTTTCAATCAATGAAATTCGCTCTGACTGGTTGGATAGCTATACATACTATCTTTATAGCAATCCAGCTAAAGAGTATTATTGTGTAATACACCTGTAGATGTTTGTATCATTTTGGAAATAGCTGAAAATGTTTAGTGGACTACCATTAGCCAATTACCCCAAGGTGTTAGTTGTGATGGGTTAGTTGGGTTGTTGCTAGTGATAGTAAAGTGTTTCAATTGAAAACTGGGCAAAAATCAACTTTTTTGGGACACTCTATAGCATTCTATTACAACAATACCTACATCCAGTATACAGCTACAGCATTCTATTCCAACAGTACCTCTACATATCCAAAACCAAGCATTCTATTTCACAACAGTCTACATCCCTAGATCATTTATCGTTCACACAAGCTAATCTATACTTTCTTTATTAACGCACTTTTGGAAAGCCAAATCAAAAAAAAAAAAATTAATAATGAAATGGCGCGAAAGATTTTCTGGAAAACTAATTTTTGGACACCCTATATAATTTACTAATTGCCCAGTTATGGAGAATCAAATAAATCACTATTTAAATTAAAAAAAAAACATACCTACATAAGAAAGTTCTGGATTGTTCCAGACTCACACATTAGAAAAATCAAGGGTTGTTCATTCAAAATTCAATAAGTCGCAATTATCAAAAAATAACTGTTGGTACTAGGTACTTACCAAAATCCAGAAGTCAATTGGTACACTATGGGCACACAACACAATAATCGAAAAATGCTGGTCGGAAAATCTTAACTTGTGCGAGAAAAATCGATAATCCTCGTACGCGGCTTCATCGATCGACGATCCTTATTCGACGAAATCTTGTCTGACAAAGAAATCCAAATCTCAATCCCAAAAAAAAAGGTAAACATATAACGTACCTAATAAATATGAGTAATGATTGGCAAAAAAACTAACTGCGTAATAGAGTAGTAGGTACCCCGACGGTAAATGTAAATCTCCTGTTTCTAGTTAGTTACAGTGCCGAATTAGTGTTGATTAATTTTTTTAAAGTTTGTTTTAGCTTTGTTCCAACAACTGTACAATGTATCGCAAAGCCTGAAAATTCGTATACAGAGTGGCTCTAAAACCACCGTTCCTGGGGCGGTTTTGGAACAGACCTTATTAATTATATATATTCAATTTTTGTCTATTCCAAGCTCTAAAATAATGTTGAGGTTTATGAATTGTTCAAAATGTCGCTGGAAAGTGCTCCAAATGGCTTATTGGAGTTCTAAAGTGCTCTAACTTGGCTTGAAGGGTTCTAGAGCATTCTAGAAGTTTTTTAGTGATTTCTAAATTGTTCTTATAGATTTCTTAATTGTTTTTCGAATATTTTCGAGCAAATTAATAATAACTATATATCATTGGAAAGAGCATTAAATTCTCTATAAGCCCGTGCAAAATTGGTTGTTGTAGCTTGTAGAGTTTCCAAGATATTAAGCTTCAATATTGAAATTAATGAAATTTAGTCCACATTTTGTCCAAAGCTTCAAATTCTATTTTCTCAAAAACCGTAAATGTTAGCGATTTCAACTAAAACCATCTTGAAGCCTTCACCAAGAGCTACAATTTTTGGAAATGTTGTTCCAATACCGCTTTTGGTTACCGAGATATTTGAGATTGAAGATTTACAAATAAAAATTGTTTAAACCTATAAATCAGACTAATAAAAATCAATCAACATCTAAACAAACTTACCCTCAACCTCAACCAATGTCAGGTGTAAGCGTTCAACCTAGGAAAAATATGTAAACTGGACATACTCAAAAACCTTTTCAATCAATAGGGACCTAGGGAAAACTCTTAACTTTACGTTTCAAGAATTAACTCATGTAGATGAGAATAATTATAAAGACTCCTAATTCTAAAGTATAATATTCGACTTCTTATAGACACAAGATCTCATGCATCCTTACTCAGACCTTCATTAGCCGAAACTTCATTTCCAGAATCAATTGTACCCTATAAAACTACTTTACAAACTTGTGCAGGAAACAAAAAGACCATAAGTAAAGCAGACATTCCATTACTGAATCCATATCTGAACCCTTTTAGAGTTTATTCTTCATCCTTTTCATGAGTATTTTGATGGCATATTAGGTAGGTATAAAACATCTTCGTAAATTAAATTTAAATATTGATTTAAAAAATAAACTATTAGTAAATGAATACCTATTTACAAATTCATTTCCAATGCAGGAAAAATTTCAATCAATACATAGTTGAAATACCTACCTCCAAAAACTATACAAAAGGTTACTTTTAAAATTAAGTTACCAAGTAATACAACTTGGCACTTGGCTATTGCCTTATGTATATGACGAATTTATTGAAATACCAACATTAGTGACAACTTCAATATAATTTTTCGTCAAATAGCCCAAATAAGTGGCCATTTTAGGTGTAGAGAAGTTCTTTTAAACCCATGTGCCAGTCAAAAAAACAGCAAGAGACATTGTAGCCCCTTGAGAAAAACAAATCTAATATCTACCTATCTATCCCCGCCTGAATTCCTGCGGCACTGATGGATTCAAATCGCACCATTTACTTTCAGAAAATATAATTCATTCAGCAGTCTGCTTCAAACCAAACTATAATACAGGTTGCGGTTCGTTCAAGTTTCCTGCTATAGGAGAAGATTTCGCGCGATGTTTTTAAATTATTATTTTGTTTTTGTGTTTTAATTTTTAACTAATTAGATACTTTTTTTTTTGGATTTATTAATATGAGTGGAAATAACGGTACGACGCTGGTGACCAATGGAAGTTCGAGTATGGAAATTGCACAGAGTAATCAGGTTTGTGTTTTTGTTATCATTATTATTATTTTTTTTTATTTATTAGCAACTTTTTTAAATTGGTAATTTGCGGTCTTAAAGGCAGACATTACAGAAAAGATGCCGGATACAAGGATGTTGGGTTTTTTGTTATGTTCAATCTTTTATCATAAATAATAAGAACTGGTTTTTTAATGTCAATAATTAGGTATAAATAATATAAAAAATCAGAAAAATAATGATATTATGTCTAATACCTATTTTTTCTTTTAAGATTCAGTTTATAGTGAAATATTATAGGTAGTGAATGAATTTACTTAAAAAATAACTGTAGATTATTAATATCTAAGCATTTACGGGGAAGAAATTTTTTATAGAATATTTTGTGGTTGAGGTACTTACTTATGAATGTTGTCAATGTTGATATGTGTTTCCACAATTTTTTTAACTTCACTATTTTTCTGGCTGCTACCAGTGACTTTTTGTAGGAAGTTGAAGTTGAATTAGTTCAGCCTTATGTAGATGGGTTTTTTAGATAGGTACGTACCCCGCTAGATACCTTGAAAAAAATTATATTTGTGAAAAACTTTTTTCTTTTCATAACTTTGTCTTTCCTTTCATACAAAGTTAAAATTGCCCACGAGCTCTGCAACTGCCTTCAAATATACAGGGTGTTATTGGTGGGTTATCGATTCAAACATTTTAGGCCGACATAGAGTAAATTATAAGACATCTTTAGAATGTCTTGGAAAAATGTCATAAAGACGTTGGGTTTTGTAACATACGACGTGTTTAAGAGCGGTCTTTAAGAAACCTTGAACATGTAATAGCAGACGTCTGAAAACGTCTTGAATGTCATTTGTGGTCATCTTAGTGCCGTTTTTAAGATGTCTACAAAAACTTCCCACAGAATTAGTTTCTGATTTGATTTAGAAGTTACCGGAAACCATTAAAAATGCTAAGAACACTTTCGAACTTTAATAGGCCCTTTGGAAAGTTCAAAAACCTGAAATTCAATTCAGAATTTCCAAAAATACTCTGTATAGCGCTTCAGAACAATGTGGAAACTTCAGAACCATTTTAGAAGGGCTTACTTACGAGGCTGGGGTCATGTAAACAAAAAGTGATATCAGGGGACTTCAATGTTCATTTCAATACTTCTGAGGCTGCTTGTGTTCGACTTTGCGACTTTTTTGGTGGCTTTGGTCTGGCGCAAACAATCTATGAGCCTACTCGGGGAGCTTCCTGTCTGGATAATTTGTTTGTCAGTTTGGGAGTCGAGGTATGTGATTCTGGGATATTTGACTTGGGAGTCTCACATCACAGGGGTCAGATCCTGGAGCTCTTGATGGAAGGGCCCCCAAAAGTTGTGCAGAAAAAAAAAGTATGCAGGCCCATAACACAGCGAGGTTTATTTGCATTCCATGGTATCTTGGATGCTGAGTCTTGGAATTTTGTCACTGTGGAGGGTATGAATACGAACCAAAAATTTAATAAATTCATGAATATTTTGGAGCAAGCCTGCCTGCACTCATTTCCTGAAAGGTCCTATAGGGTCAGATCAGACCAAGGAAATAACATTTCCTGGTTCAGTGAGGAGCTAACGGCAATGCGTGAGCGACTAATGTTTTTTGAAGATCTAAGTAGACAATACGGGCATGTGAATACTCAACATTATAAAAACTATAAAGCTGTTTATAAAAATACTATCAAACAAGCCAAAGTGCAGTCTAATGACAATCTTATTAATACTTCTAACAATCCATCTGGCAGATTATAAATGCACACAGATTATCAGATGTTACCAACTTGTCACCGGATGATTTCAATGACTTTTTCTCAAGCATCGCTGAGAATGTAGTTGGAGGTATTCCAAAATGTGGGTAACCCACCAGATGCATATTCGTCTCTTCTTGTTCCACCTCTGGTTTCTTTTGGCTTTTCACAAGTTACATATCACGAAGTGCGGGAGGTGATTGATAGTCTCAAAATGAAAAATAGCAGGGATATTTTTGGCCCTCATATGAAAATGATAAAAACTGTCAAAAATGTTATTTTAATGCCTTTAACAAAGCTTATAACTTTGGGTTTCAGAGAAAATGTGTTCCCAGATGTTCTGAAAAAAGCCACAGTGATTCCCATTTTTAAAAAAGGGGATACCAACTTGCCTGAAAACTACAGACCGATATCCCTGTTGCCAATTATTTCCAAAATATTCAAGAAATGTATAGCTCTGCAACTGGTAAAGTTTTTCGAAGCACGTGTGGTCTTTTTTCACCCTGTCAGTTTGGTTTCCGTCAAGGTAAAAATACGGTGATGGGTATTTTGGACCTCATCTCGGGCATCGTGGAAGCTTTTCAGGATAGGCAATATAGCGCGGTCTTGTTTTGTGATCTTAGTAAGGCCTTCGACTGCGTCGACCATGGTATTCTCCTGGAGAAGCTTGAAGCATACAACTTTCAACCCAGCAGTATCAAACTGATAAAATTCTATCTTAATAACAGGTGCCAAAACGTGCGGTGTGATGAGGCTGTGTGTGACATCAGCAGAGAGGGTGGTGAACATTGGTGTTCCACAGGGTTCCATTTTGGGCCCCATTCTCTTTCTTATTTACATCAATGACTTACCAGCAAATGGCGCCAGTGAGCATTTCACCCTCTATGCTGATGACACAACAATTTCTTTTGCTGGAGACACCCTGGACTCTGTGTACGCTGGATCCATGGACGCGCAGGCGAGGGCTGAAACATGGTTTGCGTCGAACAGGCTGTTGCTGAACAGAGAAAAAACCAAAATAATGGTTTTTGCGATAAGAGATGTTGGTGACTGTGAGGATGGTCTGACGGAGGCAGTGGTTTTGGGTGTCACACTAGACTCAAAGCTACAGTGGGGACCTCATATCAACCAGGTCGCCAAAAAACTAACAAAGGGCGTTTATGTTGTTAGGAACCTGTCAGCTTGTATCTCTTTGCCTGTTCTGAGAGTGGCATATTTTGCAATCTTTCATTCCCATATATCCTACGCGATTCTGGCCTGGGGACACTCTGCGGGGGTTCATAGATTGTTTGCGCTGCAGCGGAGAGTGGTGAGGGTGATGGCACGCCTTGGTTAGAGGGATGAGTGTAAGGGGGCATTTGTTTCTTTGGGAATACTTACGGTTCCCTCCCTGTATATTTTTGAGAATCTGCTTCTTGCAAAGAGAAGTAGGAACTATCAGCAGCATGAAAATACTCACCAATATGACACCAGGAATAAAAATAAACTTGAGCCTTTATACTGGCGCCTCAGAAGATGTCAAGACGGCCCGGGTTATTGGGCAATCAAATTTTTTAATGTTTTACCCCAAAATATCAGAGAACTTCCCTACAATGTCTTTCATAGGAAGGTTAAGGAGATTCTTTTAAAGAAGAGTTTTTATTCATTCTCTGAATTTCTAGATTTTGAATTTTAAATGAAATGTATATTGTCAATATGTGTTTTTAGCTTTTTTTTATAATTATTATGTAGGACAAATGTCTAGATTTAAGTTTAATGCCTCCTTGTAGTTTGTATCTATTTTGATTTTTGACGTGTGTAAACATTATTTGTCCTGGCATGATTAATAAATGATTGATTGAGAATGCTCCAGAACATTCAAAAACCGAGTTACAATTTCCAAATCCATATTGCTGATGTTTATATATATATTTTTTTACATGTTTATTGATGACGTAGGAGTAATGCTTATTGTCTTAATAAATCTATCTATCTATCTATCTAAATCTATGTATCTATCTATCCCAAACACTCTAAAATCTCTCGAAACATTTTGAAAATCGCCTGAATTTTAGGATTCAGGTTAAAAGTTACAAAACGCTCTTCAGAAGAAGGCGAATTTAAATTGCCGTAGAACTTTAAACCTTTAATAAGCATCCAAACCAGAATTTTCAGGAGCATTTTGGGTTACACCAACACCAACACCAACAACTCTTTTGAACTAATTTAGAGCTCTCTTGAACACTCCGCTCGATTTCGATAAATTTTTCACAGATTGTAGCTTAATTCTTCAGGAATACATCTGACGTATTACCGTTATTGAATGATTCGTCTTTATATCATATACAGGGATAGAAAGTCAGTAATTTTCAGAGTTTTTTGAGACACCCTGTGGAGTGAACTACTGGAAATTCAGAACAGTTTTCAACACCAAATTGTAGCCTTTTCCGAACATTTTCATTTTTTATTCACTCTGATATTTCCAATATTATTTAAAATACAGAGTTTCGAAGAAAAAGTGGATATTGACTTTATTTTTCTCCACGTCGACATACGAATTGGATATGAAAATGTGTCGTTTTCCAACTTCAAGTCGTGAGGGTGTGAATGTTTACTTCAAGTTAAATTTTGCTCGCAGTTTTACCTCTTACCGATTAATTTATTGTGAAAAGAAATGCTTACAAATATACAGGGGGATTAGGAAGTCCCTTTCCCTTTCATGACTTGGTAGGTATGTGAATAAGGTAACCTAAATAGGTTCTAAATGACACTTTATGTTCGCACCGCCCTATCACACACCCTGTATACCTATACCTAAATTATTTTCATTTTATTTCTAATTTTAACTCCATTTGTCTCCATTCGTGTGTATAATTTTCATTAGTGTGTAGCGAATGTAAAATATGCGTCGGCACTGTTTTTATTCTCATAAAACAAAAAGAAAAATGTAAATTTAGCATTTTATTTGTATGTGTTATCGACATTTATTGTAGGTATTAGGATTTTATGATAAAAGTTCTAAACTGCTGGATGCCCAAGATGAGAGAAATCCAATAAAAGCTAGATTTGAATTTGGACTAATAGGCATAAAGTTGAGGTTCAGTTTTTATAAAATTAGGAGCTTGTCATGTTACAAATTCTGGCTTCCGGAGTGGTAATGAATGAAATTAATGGTTATAAACGGTTCTAAGGCTAGGATTGCAGTAGAGTTGTATGAGCGATTTCATTATACGCAAAATGAACTCTTGTGTAAAACTTGCAACACC